TGTGTTTGTGTGTGTTTTTTGTGTTTGTGTGTTTTTTGTGTTTTTGTGTGTGTGTGTGTGTGTGTGTGTGTGTGATGTGTGTGTGTGTGATGTGTGTGTGTGTGATGTGTGTGCGATGTGTGTGTGTGTGATGTGTGTGTGATGTGTGTGTGTGTGATGTGTGTGTGATGTGTGTGTGATGTGTGTGATGTGTGTGATGTGTGTGATGTGTGTGATGTGTGTGATGTGTGTGATGTGTGTGATGTGTGTGATATGTGTGATGTGTGTGATGTGTGTGATGTGTGTGTGTGTCGTGCGTGTGTGTGTGTGTGTGTGTGTGTGTGTGTGTGTGTGTGTGTGTGTGTGTGTGTGTGTGTGTGTGTGTGTGTGTGTGTGTGTGTGTGTGTGTGTGTGTGTGCGTGCGTGCGTGTGTGCGTGCCAGCAACTGGTTCTTGGTGGTCAACAGGTCATGCGACAGCGGGCATGCAGTCGTGCTGCACATACAGTTGGCGTACTCACCAAGGCACTCAAGGGTTGAGAGTTTGTTGCAAGCACTGCCGAAGGCACTCTCAACCCCAAGATGTGAATCTGACACCCTCGGTTGTGCACCTTGTTTATTCACTACAACTCACTGTGGAATTGGCGGCGTTCTCAGCCTTTGCAACGAGACCGAAGATGCAACAAGTGAGCATCAGCAGGTTCGCAAGCCGGATGGCCCTGGGAGGAGGCTTGGGATTGGGACTTAAGTCCTTCACCCTCAACCCCTAATGAAACCACCCATAAACCCCTAAACCCCTAAACCCTATACCCCTAAACCCTAAACCCCTAATTGAACCACCCATAAACCCCTAAACCCCTAAACCCCTAAGTCCCTATCCCGATTGCATGATTGCCAGCCTGCGCTTCGGCGGCCTTGACATCCTCCTTGGCCTCAAGTGGGGTTTAGGGTTGAGGGTTGAGGGTTTAGGGTTTAGGGTGGAGGGTTTAGGGTTTAGGGTTTAGGGTTGAGGGTTTAGGGTTTAGGGTTTAGGGTTTAGGCGAACTGTGAGGCGCTGGTCATGATGGCTTCCACCGGAGCTGCAGCATGCAGATTGCAAGCATATGGGGGTTTCCTACCTTATTCTGGTGCTTATTATCAGGGGATCCTACTACTTGGGGGTGTATGTTAAGGCTCCCTTGCTTGCGTAAACCCACATATCTACCCGCACGCTTCCATCGCAAAAGCTGGACCTTGCAGGTCAATTCCTGCAGCGATGACACACGAGCCCATCCGGGACCTTCAGATACTTCTCGTCGTTCTGGAGCTTCTTCAAAGCGTTTTCCAGGTCCTGGCGGCAGCGTGATGCCTGGGTTTGAGTACGCCGTCCAAGAACAAGCGACGCAAAACCTTGAACCCTAAACCCTAAGCCCGAAACCCTAAACCCTAAACTCCAAACCCTAAACCCCAAACCCTTCACCCCGAACGGTCCTTCTTCTTCTTCCGATTGGGCTCGTTAGCTGCCTCCTGCTCGGCATCATCGATTTTCACCTGGCAGACAGCCAGGGAGCGGATCGATGAGTAGGACTCCAACATGCTTAAACCCTAAACCCTAAACCCTAAACCCTAAACCGTGTTGAGTCGCTTGGGTGAGCCGTGTACTTCCAGGGCAAGATCTACTCACCAACAGCCATTTTGGCAAATCTTGAATCACTCAACTGGCGAACTTCCTAGTGCCAGGGAAGTTCAGCATGTCAACCTAAACCCTAAACCCGAAACCCTAAACCCTAAACCCTACTCCTTAAACCCTAACCCGAAACCCGAAACCCTAAACTGCAAGTACTCCCCATGCCTCATGGGCCGCGATAAGCTTCTTCAGCTCCTCCATGGTCGGCATCCTGACCTGGGGCGCTCACGACATCAACAAGACATGCTCCTGACAGCACAGCTCCTATTGGATGTGGGTCGCAGGACAGATGACATGAACTCCACTTGAGCACACACCCAAACAGCAACTCTTGCTGCACAAGGTCCGCACGTATGCCCAGCAAAGAAACCCGGAAACTAAGGAATGACTTGGTTCCACCTCGAACCGCAATTTGCGGACATGATCAAACAACAGCGCATGCTAGCCACATTCATCAGCGGAGGTCGAAACAGCACCTCACTCGGATGTCGAAACTTTCAGCACACGGGATTTGCTGGAGCACGGGCCCGCATTTTACTCGATGTTGTCAGGAAATAAAAACGCAACTCGCCGGGGGCTGGACCGGTTCCCTGCCAAAGCAAAGTAAAACTCAAGCCTCGCTACGCTAGACTTTGTGCCACCCCCCCCCCCCTGTCTCCCAGAATCCACATATTCAGACACTGTGCATGGCTACGCTTGTCAACTGTACAAGTGGCAGGAGTTTTGACACCGATAAGCGAAGTGCAGTTGCGACAAAGTCACACAAGACTAAAGAATTCAAGGTTAAAAGTTGAAGGCCTCTGGAACCCTAAACCCTCTGGAGTCAAAGAACCAAGAATGAAGATTTCCAAGGCCTCTGAAAACCTCCCCCTCCGGAGTTCGGCCTCTGAACGCCTCGCCTCTGGAGTTCGGTTTCTCCACTGGCGCCAGGGGTGGGGCAGGGGTAAATTTTACACCCTAAACCCTAAACCCTAAACCCTAAACCCCAAACCCTAAACTCCAACCTTGCTGAGTCGAAATCGGTGGGCGGGAGGCACGTGGTTTGAAAGACTGGGCTTCGAAGCCCACCCTCCCCCCCACCATCTCCCGCCCAACAGTCGGCCATGAGCTCCAAGACTCCAAGGGGTTTAGGGTTTAGGGTTTAGGGTTTCGGGTTTTAGGGGTTTTAAAACCATAAGCCTGACTACGGCTTAGCAAGTTAAGTCTTCGCAAGCCCATGCAAAGCCCTCCACATGACGCACATAAGACCATGTAAATGCAAAGGCTGAACTGCTGCACAGCTCACACCTGCCAACGTGCCGCACAAAAAGTTGCGCGTTTTAGCTTTGTAGCATCTATCCGTCAGAAACTTCGATCGCTCTGTCCTAAGGACAAACGAAGCATGCATAAATGATCTCACACCCATCTTTGGGTGCTTGTACGCCTGTGAGGCGCATGCAAATGTTGTTTGCTCAGGGTGAAACCTTAAATTGTTGCGCGAGTCTACAGCGATGGGTTCTGCAGCCTGCAATGATGGGAGTCGGCCAACCAGCTCAATGACAGTCTCTCAACGCAACAAGCTATGTATAAAGCACGCAAAGGCTCTGCAAAAACCTTGGTTCCTAAAGCTCCTGAGTCTGTTGAGTCGCCCTTGCAACCATTCGGCACTAGCGCTCTGCCCGGCTCAGCATTTCTAAGCCAGCAAGTAGGCACGTCTCACGCAAGCAGCGCGCCGGCTCTGGGAACGAAGTCCTGGGTTTCGAGAGAGTCCGTCAACTGCTCCAGGCAGCTGCTGCAAGGCATTGTAAAGCTCCCAAGCACCACTGAGCGATGAGCATAGTAGATCAAGCACTCACCTCCAAAGACGCCGCACTGTTCCAGCGTCTTGTCCTTGGTGTTGGATTCTCGGACTGGCCGCTGCTCTTTCACTTGTCCGGCGGAGGACTTCTGGGGTCAAACCCCTGTTTCCCAAAACAGGGTTTAGGGTTTAGGGTTTAGGGTTTAGGGTTTAGGGTTTAGGGTTTTAGGGTTAAACTCAACAGCACTGGGTTTGGCACTCGGCCAACGATCTCCTCAGGGTGAAAGCGGTTGACGCACACGGACAGGTCGCTGATGGACCCACCTGCTTAGGCTCGAAAACAAGGCGGCAATCGAACTTAGCACTCTGCAGAACCTCTAAACCCTGAACCCTAAACCCTAAACCTAATACTTCTCTAGTGCAGCCAAGTCACCATGGCGGTCGACAATCCGGTCTACTATGAAGGAGATCTTCGTGGACGGGCTGCAGTCCAGCTTGAACTCCAGTAGGTTGCAGACCTCTGCAAGGAGGTTTTGCGTTTAGGGTTTAGGGTTTAGGGTTTAGGGTTTAGGGTTCAGGGTTTAGGGTTTAGGGTTTAGGGTTTAGGGTTTAGGGTTTAGGGTTTAGAGTTTAGAGTTTAGGGTTTAGGGTTTAGGGGTTTTCGAATATAAGGGACCCCGAATCTAGTCCCCAAATAGTAGGGTTCCCCTGAAATAAGAACCATGACAAGGTACCCCCCTAATTTCGGCAACCCCGGGAAGAAACTTGGGCCACTGAAGATGCGGCCACTTTTCTTACATTATTTTTGTGATATCATGAGTAAACTATTATGATTCTTCTTCGTACATAAATAAATGTAACTAAGAGTATATTATATATATATATATATACAACTATACATTAGAAAGGAATTCCTTCGAATAGAAGCTGGGGGAAGCTGAGATCCCGGACTGGCGCTGCAAGCCTTGCAAGAGCTTCAACAGCAAGGGCAGGCCAAGTGAGAATGTATATGTGGATACACACATACGTACACGAATATATATATATATATATATATATGTATATATTTCTATATATGCATTTACTTATTTATCTATGAATTTAAACAGATACCTACATATACACAGATTCTATATATATATATACAATATACACATATGTAGATACATATATCATATTCGAATAACCATAATGACAACAATGAAATCACAGAAGAACCGCCATGCCAATCGTGCAGAACAACCATCGCCCAATTCGGGTTCTTCGGGGCTGCCAAGTAGCTTTACCGTCGCCACGACCTTCCGCTCATCGACTCTCGACTTCGGCTCAGGGTGCTTCCCCTCCCATTGGGACCTGCCGGAAGGGTTTAGGGTCTTTGGGGTCTTGGGTCTTTAGGGTCTAGGGCCTTTAGGGTTTAGGGTCGTGAGTTCTCTTCAAAAGCACGTGTTAGGGGTGTAGAGGGTCGGCCTCGTCTGCTTCTCCTCCTTTTTGGCCCCCTTTTTGCCCATGGCACCTCACTTTCGCACACGGAAACTCTTCAGAGCGCACAAGGCTGCAACGGACCGCGAATGGATGCCAAGAGAACATGCATCATGCATCGGAAGACTCATTCTCCTTGACCACTGTTCCCCCACATGACTACAACCAGCATTGATGCCAACCCTGTAGCATGAGCGAAGCAGTTCTGCAAGAGGCAAGTGCGCCTAGAAAGCCCTCGCGCTCCTTGTTTCCGCTCAGGGGCCCGTGACATTCAAAGGATGATTGTGCTCGGCCGGCCCTGAGGCAGCCATGAGCCATCGTTACATCGACAAACTGATTGCTCCTTAACTGATGTTGTAGGAGTCTTAGAACGGCGCCGTCCTGTTCTGTCCCCCCTCTCCCTCGCGCTAGGTCAAAGGAGGTGGGGTGCCAGAAATTCTGACATATGTCAGAGCACCATGGACACACCGACATGGTGGATCAAGACACCATACATCACAGCCGGCTATTGGTAACATGACAAGCTTTTCGCCATCGTCTTTAGTATGTGAGTGTATCCATGCAGCATTGCACCAGGACGTAGCTGTGCAACGGGAGATCCGCATTTTTTTTGGATTCTTTGACGCGGGTTCTGAAAGATCCCTCATGGATCCCACAGAAACTAACTGCATTTTGTCTGTTGAACACAAGTACTTGACCTCCTGGCGTTCCATGCGTGCCCCTCGAACACGTACGCTGCTGTATGTCTTAGGCAAAGCAGATGTCGCACTGCAGCTCTGGTTTGCTAATATGCAAAGACTTCCGAGACCCGACTATTTCTGGCCTCACCTCACTCCAGCAGTACCATGACCGTAAGCACCAGCCTTGGCTTCAGCCCAACTGCAAGGCAATTTGGCAAGCCACTCCTCCAAACCCGGCAAAGCAAACTCCACAGGCATGGCTCCTGGAGCGAGCGCTTCTCGGCCTTATCTCTTTCCCTTGCCCTGCACGCGGATGCGGATGCGGATACAGGCTCATGTGAATTTGGACTGGCCAGGCGAAGCAAGGCTGAACGCGCATTCCACGCCTTGCCCTTTCCTTTGCCTTTCTTCCCTTTGTCTTTGCCCTTTCCTTTTCCATCTTTTCCTTTTCCTTTGCCTTTGCCTTTGCCTTTGTCCTTTCCCTTTCCGAATCCCTTTCCTGGGCCCGCGGCAGGCGCAAGCACATGCAACTAACACACTAGAGCTCCGAGGCAAGATATGGCACATCGCCGGCCACAAACAAAGGCGCAGGTAGTGCGGGTCAAGCGTCCGTCGCCCTTCTGCTTCTTCGCCTTGCATGTATCTAGGGGAAACGCACGGGGCGACTGAAACCTGAACCAAACCGACCTTGGAAGCAGTGAGTGTGCATAGAGTTGTAAAGACGCGCAAAGACGAAGGATCCAAGGCCAGGACAGGGGGCTCCATGTCCTCATCATCGTCGTCATCCTTATGGGACTGCCGCTGTGATACGCAGGTGTGGGGGGAAGCACCTACGCACCAATCAAGGTATCCAGGTATCCTCCTCTTCCTCTCCCTCCTCGTCATCCTTGGCAGTCTGATCCAGATACAGCGAAAACGGCCTGTTGATGAAGGACCCGGTCGGGGTTCAGAAGGATTGCCGAGGCACATCGTCGTCATCCATAGGGGCCGGTGTTGCCTCTGCATGCGAAACAGAAACGAGCGTTCTATGCTTGCACATGGTGCGTCATGCCCAAGACTAGACGACTTACACGAGTTGCCTCCAGCCGACATGAACCCCAAACCCTAAACCCTAAACCCTAAACCCTAAACCCCAAGTCGAAACCCTTGCCCCAGACTCCCGACACATTACTCCCGCCTTGGGCTTGGCCTCAGCTTTGCCTCGGTCAGAGAAGTCATACACACACATATGTACATATGATATAAATATAGATTTAGATATAGACATAGATATAGATATAGATATACATATAGATATAGATATAGAGATAGAGATAGATATAGATATAGATATACATATAGATATAGAGATAGATATAGATATAAATATATATATATATATAGATAAACCGCAAGCAGAGAGTTTGAGTGCCCGGCCTGCTGGCTTGACCACCGGGTCATCCTCCGCTCCCTGCGACTTGGGGGGGGAGCGGCTGGGTAAGCAAAGGGAGCGCCTCTACTTCACCTTCCTCCGAAAAAGAAGAATAAGAATAAGAATAATAAGGACTATTATGATTACTATTATTATCACTAGTAGTATTATTACTATCATTAATATTACTAGTAGTATGGTAGTAATAATAATGAACTCAAGGCACACAAAGCTGCAGCAGCCCCTGCAGGCCTCCTCTTCTTCTTCCTCCTCCTCCATATCATCCTCCAGCTCAGCAACCGAATGGCAAGCAGCTCAAGGGTTTAGGGTTTAGGGTTTAGGGTTTAGGGTTTAGGGTTTAGGGTTTAGGGTTTAGGGTTTAGGGTTTAGGGTTTGGGGTTTGGGGTTTGGGGTTTGGGGTTTGGGGTTTGGGGTTTAGGGTTTAGTCTGGGAGCTGCAGCATACACGCATCAGTCAGTCATATCATGCAGCTGTCTTCAATAGCGAAGACTCATCTGCTAATCATGAACCCGCTTGCCTCCAAATCTGCAGGTAGCGTAGCCTCCACATAGCGGTCGAAATGGAAGTGTGTAATTATGAGTCTTGGGTCGGATCCGCCAAAAATTGCGTCTGGAAGTTGCAGAACATTGCAGAACCAAGCCTTCTTCGGCTCTGCCTTCGGCGATGCCTTCTTTGGCTCTGCCTTCGGCGATGCCTTCGGCGATGCCTTAGCCGACGGCTTCACTACCTGAGCACAGGGTGCAGGAGCTTCACGTCCATGCACGCAATACAGGACCGGCGACGCGCCTTGTCGGATTCCTTCGGCTCCTCCTCTTCGCCTTCCTCCCCTTCCAGCAGGTCGAGATCGTCGTCGTCCTGTTGGAGTTGTTCTCGTCTTGCAAGAGTGAACACAAAACGTCAAGCATGACTGCGTTCCGAGTTGCAGCTCTGCCCAAAAGTCGACCCTGCATACCCGGCTTCCTCGGAGCAAGGGTCCTCGTCTATTGCTGGCTTGGCTTTCGCCGCCTCCTTTGGCGAGGCCTTCGGGGACCCCTTCGGGGCGGCCTGCTCACACGACATCCATCAAAAATCTCAAGAATCTCAAGTCGCAGTCGCACGCACTGCCAGAGGAAACTTCAAGCGCCCCTTCCTTTGCCGCAGGTCCTCCAGACCCCAAATACCCAGGCCTTGGGCGAGGACTTGGGCTCTGCCTTCGCCTTCGGTGAGCCCTTGGCAACAGGGAGTGTCTCTAAGCAGACACTAGCAGGAGCACCTTAAACCCCAATCCCGAAACCCTACACCCTAAACCCGAAACCCTACACCCGACACCCTAAACCCTACTAGTGAGCACCAGACTGCCATTGGCGCCGCTGGAGGAGGCAGGTCATCCTGCCAGCACACATCAAAGCATCTTGCAAGAACCCCAGCGTCCCAAAAGCGACAGGCAACGCTTTACGCTTACTTGCTTGGCACAGTTCGGACAAACCCTAAACCCTATGCGGAGCTGCAGTTTGTATTATGGAAAAGAGTTGGTGTTGAAGGATAAAGGGTCAATGAACCTGGTAACCTTTGTGGCTCAAGAATGGCCACTAACAATGGCTGTTCAAAGCGAAAAGCAGTGCCCTGGGGTTTGGGGTTGGGGTTGGTGTCTGGTAAGGATATCCCCCTCCCTCCTTCGGGTGCTCTTGTTTGGATCTGTGTTGTGTTCTTCGGTTCAGGGAGTTCATTTAGGCAGCCAAGGGTTGAGATTCTTGCTTTTCCCCTTTCGGTTGCCCCCGTAGGTTATGAGCCCAAATTAGGTTCCCTGCGGTTGGGTGTTCTCTTAAGGTTTTTGGGATCAAGAAGCAATGCCTTCTCCTAAGCGATGGCTCCAGCCTTCCTCGGATGGTGGTCAGAATGGTGGAGCTGGAAATGGTGCAGCTGAGTCTCTGGGTGAAAGGGCGGTGCTGGAAGAGGTAATGCCTGGCGCTGAAGAACATCTGGATGAAGCCTTGGTTGCAGAAGGCCCCAATGTGGGTATGAATCCCAATGCGGATATGGTTAGCAATTCTGAAGCTGAAATACGTGCTGTCTCTGTATCGCCAAAGCCTGGTGAAAAAAGGAACTGGGACGCGACTGGTGGTATAGACCGTGAAATGGAGGTGACTGTTTTACGCGTGTTGCAAAAGCATGGGTATCAGCCGTCGACTTCAACTTCGGGCCGAATGGTGGATCAAGGGTCTCAGACCAATCTGAGTGGAGAGGTGCTGCAAGCTGCCAGGAGGCCTCTGAACAAGATTGAAGGGGATCCCTCGGTGAGTTCCCTAGGTGGTGGAAGCGGTTACGAACAGAAGGGTGCGGACAGCTTTGAAGCTGCACCAACTGCTGAATACGCCATGGGGGAGGAGGAGATCTTACAGATGGAGGCTGAAAGGTTGCGCCAGTTGTCAGAAGAAGAGGATGAGATGCGTCAAGTCTCTGAAATGGATGGTTTTCGGAGAGATGAGCATCTGATCAAAGCGTGTGATGGGACAACGTGGGAATGGCACTTCCACGAAGATGGGAGACAATATTACTACTGCCTGGATACGCAGGAAAGCAAGTGGACATTGCCGGCTGTAGGTGAAAAGATGAAGAGTGATGAGGTGGTTGGGTCTCCTTCGGGCAATGAGCTGGAAATGGAGGCTGCACTGGGTTCTTCATCATCTACTCCGACGCCTGAGTCTACGAGGGCATTCCAGGGTAGTGTAAATAGTGTAGGTGAAAAGGATTTTTCCTCTACTATCAGGGATAGCGGTTTTAGGGCTGGTGGTGACGCCCAGACCTCGGGTTCTCCTGATGAGGAAGGAATTTCTGGAATCCGAGCAGACATCGCTGGGGAACATCTGGATCGGGAAGAAATGAAAGCGCTTTCTGAGGGTGTGGCAGCAGTGGAATCGGTGGGTCCAGAGGAAAAAATGCCCAATGCGGAGATTGGAACTGTGTCGGCTGCGGAAGAGCGAGTGGTGGATGTGGTACCTGTCGTTCAGGAAGGTGGTCCTGGAGATTTGGATGACGGAGGGAAAAAGTTGTGCGTTACGACTGAGGAGGTCTCTTCGTTTGGTGCCAAGAATCTTGCCATTCAAGGGAAAAAAGAAGCTTCTGGAATAGCTGGAGACACGGCTGATCTGAAAGATGAGGCCTGGAGCGCCAATGAAGCGCGGGTCAATGTGCCGGATAGTACCTGGAGTGCGGAGGAAGCACGGGTTGAGGCGCATATGGTGTCACGTTCCGCGGACGACTGCAACAATGGGGCGCAGGTCTCCGTAGCAGCTGACGACGGAGGTTCACAGGTGGACGCACTGGTGCAACCTGAAGTTAGCAGCGAGGAACGAAATGGCAAAGACTACACCGGAGCCAATGTGGCAGCTGTGGTCAACGATAGTGGTGATTCTCTTTTGGAAACCATGGAGCCAAAGGAGCCTGCGGTGGAAGAAAATGTGCCTGCCGCGGATGAGCAATCCAACAGCCCTGCAGTGGAAGAAGATTTGCCTGCTGCAGAAGGTTTGACAAAAGACTCCAATGGTGGGTCCACTCCCACGAAGGGGGAAGTATTGCCGTCTGAAAGCTTGCCGGAAGTCGACACCGAGCGAACTGTAACAGATGAGGCAAAGCCATTGGCTGGAAAAAAGGAAGGTCCTGAACCCCTTGAGCACAAGGTGGATGATCTTGTGGGACTCGTGCAGGAGCAGGACAAGCAGCTTGACCCAAAGGTGGAAACAAGGGATGTTCCAGGAGCCGATGATACAGAGATGGTTTCTGAAGAACAGGCAAAGGAAGTGCCCAATGAGGGAGCCTTGGTGACACCTGGGGAGCATTGTTATCAAGCAGGAGATAGGATCACTGCTCTGGTGCGTTGCATCAATGTATATGGAGCCTTTTTGGAACACGGTGATCTGAATGTGCTGATTCCTGAAGAAGGGAAAAACACACCTTCTTTCAAAATTGGTGACACTGTCTGCACGACAGTGAAGAGGGTGGATGATGATGGCACTGTGATTTTAGATTCCTACCTGGTTTTTGAAGAGGACGAGGAGGACTCTTCTCCAGCGCAGCGCAAATGGAAAGACGGCGGCTGGGATGCATGGTGGGGAAATTCATGGTGTGATGGTCAATGGTACCAAGATTCCAACGGTCAATGGGACTGGAAATGGGAGGAAGAGCAATCCGATGAGTGGTTTGCTGATCAGGAGTTATCCTCAGAAGAACAAGAGGAAAGGCAACTCTATGGAGAAAAGATCTATAGAGCTCTTCTGGAGGATGGAAAGGCTGATAAGGCCTACGTGGGCAAAATCACTGGGATGTTGCTGAGTCGTACAATAGATGTGGTTATGGAGTGTGTTGCAGATCATGCATTCCTGAATGCGGAAGCTCGGCGTGCATATGGCATCTTGCAAAGTGATGGTTGGAAGCCCGATGGTACAGAAGGCGCAGGCTTGGGAAAGACAACCACCTTTTCCCGAAAGCAGTACCACAACGCGCTCTACGAACTGGCACGTAAGAAGAGGAGATTTAGTGGACCAGTTGTGGGTGAAGCGGTGGCAATGTTGCTGAGTCAAGGCAAAGATGAACTTTGGAATGCGCTTTGGCTGGATACCAAGCGGTTTTTGCAGGAGCTTGATGGTGCAGTTGAATCCATGAGTAAGAGAGAAAATAAGCCAATGGAAGCCTACATGGATGCCGATCAGTATAAGAAGGCTCACCTGACGCCAAAAACTGTGTCACCAGGGTACAGCAAGCTGTGCAAGTTTTTCAATCAGGGAAGGTGTCGCAATGGAGATGAGTGTTCCTATGAACATCGTCGTTATGGTGAAGGTTGGCCAGGAGGAGGACCAACTGAGCCAAAGAACAGCCAAAAAGCTGGAGACGAGGATGGGGACATTGGCGACCCTCCTACAGAAGAAGGCACAGTGGATGAGGCACAGCAGGAGCGGGAGGATTCAGCTTTCAGAGCCAAGTACAACTTTGGTAAAGGTGCATCAAAGGGTGAGTCTGTGTCAGTCGAGCCAAAGAGGCAAATGTGTCTGTATTACAACCAAGGAGGTTGTAAATATGGAAATTCTTGCAGATATTCGCACGACGAAAAAGCGGTTTTGGAAGGGACTTGGGAACCCGGCAGATCCTGGGACAATGCTTCTCGGAAAGCCATAAGGGACGCAGGGTTCCATCATTGCTGCTTCGACTACTACCTCAAAGGGAGATGTCGCGTGCGATATGGTTGCAAGTATTCCCACGACGAAATGTCTGAAGAGCGACTGGCCCAACTGAAGCATCTGGCGAATGTGGCGAACCATGTTTCGTTTCAAAGAGGAAGAGGATTGGAGATTTCCGACAGGAACACCTTTCAACCACCGGTAAGTGGGGGAGCGGAATCTTCATCATCTTCGGCACCACAGGCGTTGCAAATGACCAATGTGTCAAAGAAAACAGGTGAGGGTGATACACTGGATGGAGCAGATGGAGATGTCCAAAAGGATTCGGTGGCAGAGTCTACCACGGTACGTCTTCAGAATCCAGAAGAGCCAATAGAAAATTGGATGGCTCGCAACAAACACTTGTGGGTGTATACACCTCACGTAAGTGACGTGATGATCAAGCTTGGTGTAACCAATGTCAGAGAGCTACAAGAGTATATCTTCGTGGAGGATTTGGTGGAAAAAGGGGTTAACAAGGTGACGGCCTGCAAAATTCTGCAATTGGTGGGTGGTGTTCATTACCGGCCAATGTCGCCGGATGTGGCTGTTTCTACCAACGCATCGGTACGCATGGAGCAATCTTCTGGAAGCCGAGAAGCTGGAAGAGGTGGGGTGAGAACTATCTCTCAGGTGCGTGAAGCTGAAGGTCCTGGTACAAAGGAGATGCCGCGAGGGTCTTATCGAGAGATTTTCGACACAGGCAAGTACCGTGACGCTTGGACGCTTGCGCAGAGATCCCCGCTGCGCGTGCAGAGGTTGCGATTGGTGGGAGTTGGAATGCCACCGGTGAACCCGCCAACAAAGGCGTATCGGTCAAGATCAAACCCTGTTAGAAGGGGAAGGCCCTTGCTGGATAAAAAACAGGTGCGACTGGTGCCACGCTCTCGCTCACAACGGCGTGTGCAGCCGGAGGAAGTGGTGGAAAAGCCAAAGCCGCTGGAACCAGTAAAGCCTCGTGGTGGTTTGTCGTACCCATTCAGCAGAGCGTGGGCAGATTTGGTGGATGATGATGATCAGACAGGAGCTCTGGTCTCCTATGCTGATTCCTCAGGTGATTCAAGCGAGGAAGAAACCAACAGCGCGCGACACCTGCGGGAAACCTTTTTGCGAGAAAGGGATTCACAAAGAACTGAGACACGTGGCAATGCTCCACTTACTGGTTCTTCAAGCTCCAATGATGGGCAGAAAAAATCGGTTCACCTTGGCGAAGGGCGCGACAAAGCGTCGCGGGGGGAGACCCGCCAAGAAGTGACTTCTCAAGTTTTTTCGCTACCACAACCTTCTCGTCGAACTGAGCAGTCTCAAAAAAGAGCAAGGGATGGCTCAGTTATAGTTGGTTCGCTGGCGGTGGGCTCCACGGATGAGGTTTTACCTGGGCAAGGTGTTGCTGGACAGGTGAATGTATCTGAAAGCGCTCAAGTTCTTCCTGGGCAAGAAGTGGCTGGACAGGAGACGGCGCTGGAAGGAGCAGTGCAAATTTCTGGCGAGGAGACTGACCAAAAAGAGGGAGAAGGTGGGAGCAATGAACTCCGTGGCTCCGTGGTGATGGTGTGAAGATATTGGATGTTTGTCCGGTGAAGAAGGACCATCAGCAATTGCTTACTAAAGGCCTTCTGAAGCGGATTTATTGGAAGGTTGCTGTCGGCAAGTTGCCTGTGGGGCAAAGGGACTGTCAGAAGGGGTCCGATAAAATGGATCGAAATTTGGTTATTAGCATGTCATCCGAAGGTGCAAGCGAACAGGAATTGAACCTGGCACTGGTGGACGATGCTGATCAGTCAATGGATGATGGTACATTGGTGGTTATGGTGTATGACCCACGAACGCTGATTCAGTCGCCAACAACTGATTGGGTTATGCGTCGCGGTTTGACCGATCGCACCATCTGGCCGGCAATAGCGACTGCAGCACAGAGGATATGTGCTGAAATGGTTCAAGTGGATGAACTGAATGCCCAGCTGGAGACTGGGACACTCCTTTTTCAAAGGAGAGATCAATGACATTATGGTGATTTGCATCATTCGTTCCATGAAAATCCGTGCTTGCCGGCGGTGGGAAATTATCCTCTCTCGGTGATGGGTGCATTGCTGTCTCCTGGTCTGGAAGGGGAATTCAGAAATACTGAAAAGTTTGGAACTGCTATGGAGGCAATTGCCTACGATTGGAGTCGCAGTCCAGGCATGGAAGTTCACGTTGAACTTATGGCGAGGGTAGCCAAATTGGTTGCTCCGTTCCTTACCCTAGGAGGCCAAGGGTCAGTGGTGAATTCAGAATTTCTCTGGCAGCGCGGGAGGGATCAAATGATGGAGTTCCTTCAGGCGGCGACTTGTGCTGATCAATTGGAGGTTCTCTGGAAAAGGATGGACGACGATGCTGACGAGGAAGTGGATCCTTCAGGGATGGTGCTGGAGACTCTCGGACAGCAAGATGCGGTACTTGAACAAGGGATCAATGAATCCCCTATTCCCATTGAAGATGCTGGAAGTGAGACAATTGGTGACACTGGAAGGGATGGCAAAGCGCCAGAAGTTTCTCCAGAAGAGGAGACATCCAGTGGTTCATCAAGATTGGCTGGCACAAGAATGTTCTTGTGGTCGGTGTATTCTCGTGTCGCTTCCAACTGGGATTTCTCTACGCAGGACCGCACTACTGGTAGGATCTTTGACAGCACGAAGGGGTATCCTGGTGAAGGACCGGACAATGGTGATGATTTTTCCTCTAAGAGGAACTTACCCTGGATCTCTGAAGATTACCTCGACGAAGTGGTGTCAAAAAAGATGGAAAGGTCTTCAGATATGGATGGGTTGGATGGGTTTGTTCCGGAAAGTGAGGGACAGTCGGAAAAGGTAGAGGTGGAGAATGTTACTGCCTCTAGAATTCTTATGGCTCTTTGGAAAAAGGGATATAGAGCTGGGTATAGGAGGTTGTGTCGTTCGAATGTATCTGGATCCAAGGTTGGAGCAATGAATCATCCAATCAAAAAGGTGCGGAAGATCGGCACTAGAAAGGCCTTCTTGAAAATGTTCAATGTTTTTGGATCGTCTCAGCGTGGCTCAGGAGCTGGTGGAAAACCAATCATGAAGGTGGTAGGACCAAGGCCAGGTTTTCCAGCTGTACTCAAAGCATCAAATACTGATAGCACCTTGGGTGAAGGGAGCAGTTCTCAGGTACATGGCAATGTTCATGTAGAGCAGAATCGCCCTATGGACCGGTACGAGGCGGAGCGTCTGGAGAAGAGGAAGAAAGGCTTCTGCTATTGGTTCAGCAGGGGAAAAGATCGCTGCAAATTTGGTGAGAGTTGCAAATTCATCCATTCAGAAGATGATGTGGTGCTACAATCGTATTGGTGCAAGTACTATGTGGCTGGGAGACACTGCTTCTCTGGAGAGAACTGTAAGTTCTCACACAATGCAACTGGTGTAAGGTGTATCCAGTTTGCTCAGTCTGGGAAGTGCCGTTATGGGGACAAGTGTGTCTTTGAGCATGGTGATCCGCTGGATGAACAGAGGCCAAGGTCTCCAAGGACGCCCCCAAGGGATGGTCCAAGGAGAAGTTCTGGTACAAGAGGTGGAGGAAAGGAGATTTCTCCTGAACGGTATGATGAAGAAGAGGAGGATTTCATGGTGTATGACGACGATACCAGGATGGGAGAACTGCTGATGGAGGCGATTTCATATATGTCTAATGGCAAGTCAGATTTAGCTCGTGCAGAGGCGGACCCAGTGTTCAAACTCCTGAAGTTCAATGGAGACACTGAACAGATGGATACAGAATGGTGTTCATGGACCACTGGTATGCTGTCCTTGCTGGAACTTCACGAAATAGTGAAGTCGTATGAGGTTTCGCTGGTGGACGTGGAAGAATGGATCAATGACCTGAGGATATGGTTCCAAAAAGAGCAAAAAGAGGTCCCTAGAAAGGGAGTCCAGTAAGGATACTCCTGCCGAAAAGGAGGTGGTTGGAACTTCGGAGACGGATGTTGCCGTTGAGGAAGAGGTGAAAAAGGCCAAAAAGAAGAGGAAAACTGCGGCTAGCGAGGATCCTTATACTCTTCTGGTTCCAAAGCCGAAGAAGATGCCGGCGAACATTGAGAAGGGTGGATCATCATCCAATGCGGTGGTTTCTGGAGGGGAAAAGGCCTCTTCGAGAATGCGCACAAAGGCAAGCGTCGTGGGAAAGACGAAGAAGAAAGAGAAAAGTCAAAGCCCCAAGAAGGAAGAGGTGGTAGTGGTGAAAGGTCCTGAGGAAAAGGATCGTTCCTCTGATGTGGATGCGCAAGCGTCTACTACTGTGGATGCAGAGCTGGGTCAATCTTGCCAAGCAATTGAGGACGCGAAGAGAGAAGGATTGGTATCCTCAATTCAAAGGTGTGTGCAGGATCCTGTTCTTACAGTATCGGACCTGGAACACGTTTTGCTGCGTCTTCACCTAAGCATCGATGCCCACCGGAAGAAGAAGAAGGGATGACTGGATGGTATTGATGAGGGAATGGTTTTTTCTCTTTCTGAAGACAAGTGCGCTGGAACAGCCAATGTGCTGAAAGTATGGTGGTTACTATTAAGGGTATGGAAATCCCTGATAGTAGAAGTTAGTAGCCTTTTGCGTAGCGAAGACCACGGTTCGTGGTGAAGAAGGCTGAAGAGTCTTCAATGACAAGAGAATCATGGTGAAAAAAGATTCTCTATGGTAAAAGGTGTTTAGCCAATGTGCTATAAATTCGTCCTGGATGACGTTAAACCATAACATGCATTCCAAGCAGCTGGCTGCTGCCCTAATGGCAGTTTTTGGCCAAAAGTCTGCACCTCCAGTGTGTGTCCTAGGAAATCCTAGGACAGGGGGAGTGCGGAGCTGCAGTTTGTATTATGGAAAAGAGTTGGTGTTGAAGGATAAAGGGTCAATGAACCTGGTAACCTTTGTGGCTCAAGAATGGCCACTAACAACGGCTGTTCAAAGCGAAAAGCAGTGCCCTGGGGTTTGGGGTTGGGGTTGGTGTCTGGTAAGGATATCCCCCTCCCTCCTTCGGGTGCTCTTGTTTGGATCTGTGTTGTGTTCTTCGGTTCAGGGAGTTCATTTAGGCAGCCAAGGGTTGAGATTCTTGCTTTTCCCCTTTCGGTTGCCCCCGTACCCTAAACCCAAGAAACCCCAAACCCAAACCCCTAAACCCCAAAACCCTAAACCCCAAAAACCCTAAACCCCACCCTGCAAACCTGAACCATCCCACATTCCGGGAACAAGCCTCATCGAGTTCATCTGCCTCGAAGTAGCCTGTCAGGTGCACCGTAGCCTGGCAGAAGCCACACAGTGCTGCCCATAAACCCTAGACCCCAAACACTAAACCCTAAACCCTGGACCCATGTGGAAAAGCAAGCTTGAGAGCACCCAGAAAGAGAAAGGCTCAAACCAGGAACCTTTTGACGACATTGGGGGGGTACCCTTTTGGGGCTCCTCATTTTAAGGGAATCCTAAGATTTGGGGATCCATTCTTGGGGGTCCCCTGTTTTCGTAAACCCCCCAAAAAAGCCCCTAAACCCTAAACCCTCAACCCTACAAGTTCGGGACTCACACCCGGCCTTGCCCTTCACCGCAATTTTTGCCTCCTTTGCATCGAGAAACAAGTCCAGGGCGCAGAACTCCTGGCCAGCAACGTGGTCTTCCCACACACGGTTTAGGGTTTAGGGTTTTTTTGGCTTCGGGTTTAGGGTTTAGTGTTTGGGGTTTAGGGTTTAGGTTTAGGGTTTAGGGTTTAGGGTTTAGGGTTTAGGGTTTAGGGTTTAGGGTTTAGGGTTTAGGGTTTAGGGTTTAGGGTTTAGGGTTTAGGGTTTAGGGTTTAGGGCTTGTTTGGCTTAGGGTTTAGGGTTTAGTGTTTGGGGTTTAGGGTTTAGGGTGTCGGGTTTAGGGTTTAAGGTTTGATGTCACTTCCGTCACAAATCTATGCAAAAAGACAGCCTGGCCTGCCCTCCTTCCTTGAGGCAGGCGACTGCATACGTCTGACCTCAGCTAGGATGGCCCTTAAACCCCTCTGAAAAATGCTCCTGAATATGACCCCCCTTAGAGAAAACAGGGCCTACCTAGTCAGTCTGTCACAGGATTTCATTTCTGTGCTTAGCAGCTACTACAGCGCCACAGTGCCAGAACCCCCCTTTTGAAGCAACTTGCCGTACTTTCAGCTCCACCAAGAAAATTCACTGAAAATTCAAGAGGTTTCGAGCCCAATACGCTGCTACAGGCAATCCCCACCTCAACTAGTATACGATCGTCACAAGGATATCTGGGAATCATGACCCATTAGTGTCTGTCAGGTACTGGTTTTGTTCGGTCGCATTGCACAGCTTTCCGGTTGCATACAATTACCATACTAAAACCCAAGCCTCCAACTTCAAAAGCTGTGTGGTTTAGACCAACCACAGGCTGGTGGTAATGATGCAAAACTGGAAGAAGGATTGGGATTTAGTAGTTGCTGGGAGGCGGTACTATGACCCAACATAGTGCAGCATTCCGTGAGCTCTTTCCCGAGGACTCCGCCATGTGAGCATGTTTTGGGAGATTTCAGGACAAGATAGTGCAGCTGAGGCAAAGGAGACTGCCCAGCGCTTCTCCGCAATCGTACAGGCGTCTGCCGCTGATCCTTGACCCAATCGTTGAGTTGATGTCTGAGCTGTCCGCCTTCAAAGCTGCCGCAACGTGTCGCGCAGGTGAAGGAGGAAGAGCTGCTGCAGAGGGTTTCGGAGCATTCCAGGTCGCACGCGCCGCATCGATGAGATCGCCCCTTGTAGGCTTTGGTGGCCCCCTACCGAAGTCATGAGCAAGGCAGCCACGAGCATGCCGGTCCTGCCCTTGCCACCATTGCAATGGACGAGCACGCGGCTCCGCGCGCACAGATGCCGCTTCACCGGAAGCACCACGCGTGACAAGTACTCTTGTGAGTTCCAGGGGATCCACTTGTCACGAAGGTCTAGATACATCCACACCATTCCTTCCTCCTCGACGCAGGCACGCAAATTCTGGCAGCTCATGGCTTCGAGCTCATTCGACGAGAGCAACGTAACCACTATGTCCACACCGTAGTGATGCTTCAGCTGTGACACATCTGCACTGAGGCTGCGGAAAGATCTCCTCGTGCGACGGCCAGGCGCATGGGACATCAGGATTTCGCTCCCGCTGTCCAAGCGAAGAACATCTGTCTGGTAGAGGGTCACTTCTTCAGAGCCTCCTGAATACGCTTTCGGGGACCTGTGCCCCAAGATCCAAGTGGTGCCAAGAAAGGACACGCCACCTAAAGCCACCAAGTACGAAAGGACCGCACAGCACGTGCAAACAAAATCCCCACAGCAACCTGATACGACGAGGCCACATATAAAGAATAGCAGCGACATGGCCGGCAGGAGTACAAGGGGATGTGTCCAACATCTTGGACCTGACTGCTCCACCTCCTGGTAAGCAGCATTGATACCTGTCATCGTTCGACAATTTGGCCGGATGTGGCTTCCATGTCTTCCATCAACCCCAGGCCATCACCTAGCCAAGGAACAACTGGCACGAGGACGATGGCAAGATATTGCAAGTGACCGGAGTTGCTGAGCTTGAGGTTCGGAAGTTGGGCGCTGCAAAATCGAGTCGCACGCACGTCCGACAGAATGCTGCGAACTCTACCAAGGCCCTACCGGTTGCGCTCAGCGCCCGACCCGTCTGCTCCACCAGAACTTTGGAAGAGGCTCCACTGGGAGTGTCGGGCGCTAGGCAGGCCTGTAAGATGGTGCATCCCGCTCGCAATCCCGTCACATCACGCGTAGACCCATTCTAGGGTTTGTCACAACAATCACCCCGTGCTTCATGCCCAGAAGCAGTACTCTAAGCTGACAGTGCACGATGCCGAGAAGTAACGCCGGCTTTTAGTGCAACACACGCGCGAAGACACACACACACACACACACACACACACAACATAGCTTCGCGTGTATGTGGACATAAACTGGTCTGGAGCTCATGACTCCACGCCTGGGACAAGTGAAGCAGCTCTCCCGCCTTTGTCTCGACCTGTGTTCAATCGTCATTGTATGGAGCTTCAAAGCTGTTGGGCTCGGCGACACTCACGGGCCTTCTTGGTCTCACCTGGAGCCACAATACAGCCCCAGAACATGTCCTTAGAGACGGAGCTGCCAAGGAGAAGCGCTATTTAAACTTCTAAGGGTGTGCATCACTTCGACTCAGCATTTTAGTGCAGTCAAGAAGCAGCAAGTCCCCAAAGCACAAGCTGATGGGAAGGAAAGTTGAGCCAGGACAAACGACTGCGCGGGCGAGAAAACCTTCGAGACGTGTTGCTACTAGTAGCAACGGCTCTTAGCATGTTCATTGGTGGCCTACGGTGTAATCTAATTCTTTGCATGTCCGAACAGAGTCCTTCACCTTGCCGAAAGCAGAGAGAAAAGCAGAGAAAGAAATGATTGAATAGCAGAGACTGTGCAAACTCATCTTGGGCCGTCTGCAAGCGCACCAAGCCTTTACCAGTCACCAGCCTACCCCCAGCCTTTGTAAGCAAACAGCGCGGAGCCTCCCTGCACGAGAGATGAAAAGAAACCGGGGCCGAGGCAGCGTGGGCCTCGCTTGACGGGTGTAGCAGCTCTTTCGCAGGGAGCCAAACGGCAGCAGAATGAACTCTATGATATATGTATATATAATAAAACTGTAATATAGATACATATATATATATATGTATAATGTATAATACTACATGTATATTATATAATACATATATATATATATATATATATCGAATGAACTCTGCTTCACAAGGCACATTATTGAGGCTGAAAAGCCACGCGGTTCACATTGCAGTGGAGAGTGTCTGCTCCGCACTCCTAGGGAGGTGACCACGAAAGGTCCGTGGGAGTGCTGCTGCAGTTACAGCACGAACTTGCAGCGCTTCTGACTGTTCACCGGCTCCACACGCTGTACAGTACATTATTTTTTACCTGTTGAAAAAACACAGCATTTCTGGCTGCTCAAACAAGATGCCCGCCTACCTTCCGTTCCGTGTGCAAAGTTTATGAATGTTGCCAAGAAGCAAAAAACGACTTGGGGGGGTGAGGGAGCGGAAGGAAAGCTATTGGAGGGAGTCCACAGCCCCGAACCGCAGACTCTAAACCTGAACTTGTTTAGCATAGACTGATCTGTGCTGCCTTCCTTATGCGAGGAGGGTCTCAACTGAGCTTGCCAATCTTTCCCAAGAACCATGTGGAGGTTGCCTGCTGCGGCACTTGTTCGGTCCGTTTTCCAACTTGATCGCAGACTCAACTCACACCAGCACTGCAGATTGCAAGCATTAGTGGATTCTTCGAACTTAAGGCAAGCGGAATCTTGCCAGAAGCGAAAATATTAATAATAGAAAAGGGCTTGCAACCCTTCGCACGCGCGTTAACGGCGGCCGTACTTTGGACTGCTTTACAAAAAGCAGTCAGGGCCTGGCCCAAAAAGGCCCCAGGGTGCATGTAAAGCCTCCATACGGAGTAACGTGCGGGGTTTAGGGTTTAGGGTTTAGGGTTTAGGGTTTGGGGTTTGGGGTTTGGGGTTTGGGGTTTAGGGTTTATGATTGCGAGCTCTGCACTCGCAGCTCAAAGAACGCAATCCTTCCAGCCACGCTCCACTATCACTCGATCGAAGCCGGCCAGCAGCTCTTGGGCCTTGAAGAAGCACATGGAAAGTGTCTGGCGCTTCTGCGCAAAGAAGCGCCGAGACCACGTTACACAAGTCATTTCCAAGTCTGCTCTGCTATGTCTCTCGCATGCTGGATGCAGTAAACTTGCAACGAAAAGGTCTGCAAGGAATCTCGAAGTTTGGAGAATTTTCTGGGGGAGATATCTCAGTGCCATTACCTCCAGGCCTCCACGGGGAAGCGCCGCCGTGGCGGTGGTTTCCGTGAGGCCTCAGTTTCCGGAGAGGGGGACGCTCTTGCCGGAGCCTTTTGGCTCCAGAACTGACCCTCAATTCAGGGGCAGCTGGGGCTACAAAATGACAACGCATCTGGAAGGACACTCGGGCATTATCCCTCATGGGTTTTCAAACTTTGACTTCAGCGCAATGCAAGGTAGCAGACCAACCTGCCACTATCCGATTTGCTAGTAGGTCGCCTGCAGCCTTCAGCATGTAGAACAGAGACTGAACACGTCTCGACAAAACAAGAGCTATCCTGAGTCCTGAGTTGTCAACATATGTTTCAAGTTTTAGTGTCCAAGTGGCCAAGACCCGGTCAAGCAGAAGTCCTGTCTCGACCACTTGTAAACGGCTCTGCAATGCCTTCTCCTGCAGATGTTCAGGCTTTGATGGGGGGATTGCTTGAGGATGCTTGGGGTTTAAAGGGTAAGACGTCATTGTTTTGACCTGGAGGTCTTAGCGTAAGGTTTGGGGACTTGGCACGATTGAGAGTTCTCGGCTTTGGCGACAAGAAAGAACTAGGAACGGTTTGGCGCTATCTGAGCTGGCATCTGACAGCCTCACCCCCACAAAGAGCAGCCACGGATGTCTTCCTGAGTCATCCTGTCAGGTTTCCCTCGCCTGGCTCTTTTGGAATCTTTGTGGCCCGGCTGGACTGCCCGGCGCTCACTTTGTTTGCGGTTAAGATGTTTACACCCCTGGCAAGTTCCAACTCACTGAGGCAGTCGAGTCCTGCGGCAGCAACGCCGCCAGGCGGAGGACCGCGCGCAGAAGAGCAGGGCGCCGCCTGCCAAACTTGGGTCTTGCCATGTCTTGCCCACAGGCGTAAGAGACTCCTTGGCTTCTTTCCGCCATGCTGTTGCTGTCATCCTTCACGAGGACGGGCATGAGGCGATGACGTGGGTGATGCTTGTGTTCTTATTCTGCGGGTGCTCCTGTCATTGGGTTGCCTGGCTTTGAAATGTTGAAGAATGCGTGATGACGAGTGACGCGGAAGCACGTACTGGGCTGACGGTCCCACAAACCCTCACAAAAGTCGCGTCAGCTTCTACAACCTCTCGGTCGCGACTGCATGTCCTGCCTGTTTAGTAGCTGCAGGCGCACGTCGCTGAAAACCTGAAGGTTTTAGGGCTTGAGCGGGTCATCTTCGAATCACGCCGGAGACCGAAAAAAGGTTCGAAGAGCAGGAAAGACCACAAGAGGGGGCGAAAGAGTCCACTTTGTAAAGTCTCTGCGCCCGGCTGGAGACTCCAGCAACTCCACTAGGTACTTCAGCTGCTCCTGGCACCAGCTCAGAGGGATTTCCCCGTAACCCTTGTATACCCTTGACATCGTTTGACATGGACTCCCAAAACAGAGGGCCCGCCGCGGTCCTCAATGTCCTCTGTGCGCTGCATGGTAGCGAGCCTGCGAACTTGGGGGGTAAAATACTTGCCTTGAAGTACAGACATGCTCCAACCTGGTCGCCAACTGCGCCGCAAGCTCGTACCTCGAGGAACATCAAACAAGTCTTCCATCTGCACACACATGCGAAGGAGTTGCTGGCGGCGGTGTTTAGAATAGCTCGACACGCCACGAGTGTGTTGGAAAAGACTTGGGGGCCAAGCCAGTTCATCCAGAAGCTCAGTGCCAGCGAACTGACAGGACAGCACCTGTGCCAGCTGCGCAGCAATCTACATTTCAGGGCGGCATAGGTTGAGAAACAATGCAACCGATTGCTAGTTGCTTCGTGAGGGCGCGTTCAATTTTGCAACTTCGCGTCCCAGGGCCGCGACAGCCAGGATCGCATGAGAATCATCCTGGCTGCGGGCGTTCTGTAGTCACTGTAGTCACATCCACGTCAGGTTCAGTGAAGGCAGAGTAGAGCGTGGGCGGGCGCACGGAAAGCTCGTGGAAGCGACTTGGCCGCTGGACTCGGCGCGGAGCTGAGCCTGACTGACATCAAGAATGACTCCAGTGACTCCAGCCACTACGAAGCGCCACCCTGAACCCTTAAAGCCCTGAACGCCCCGAACCCTCTGAAGACGTCGCAGGTAACACATAAGCACTCACAGGTGGCGTGCCGGGCTTCGCACTCGGAAGTCTTGGGTCTCCGGACCAGTAAGCAGGCCACGGTTCAAAACCTCCAGAAGCCCAGTGCTTCGCCAATGGAAACACTGGTTTTGGGGTGGATAAGCGAAGGGGCGTACCGTCTGTTTATCTCGGAGTGACTTTCGGACTTTGGACTTTCGGGAGGTCTAGGGGGGGCAGGGGGGACAGGGGGTATTCGTGTTTACTGTCATGCGCACCATCGAAGCAAAATCCGCGCCTGCACCAGGTTTCGCGCGAAGGCCTTGTCCTACGCGGACATGGACGAAAAGCATTGGCACAGCCTAGCAAGCCTAGGGCCCAGTGCACGTCACATGCCCGATTGTGCCATGAGCCCCAGATGCACATGTCAGGTGCGGGGTGATGCGGGGAACGTGTCAGGGGATCAAGTATTTAAGAATTCTGCCTTACATTCTGGCCTCCATGGTTTCAAGCGTCTTGGCAGCCGTGGCCTTAGTTGTCCACAAGGACGCAGCAAGACGTCTTGAACAACTCACGACTCACATCGCCCTAACAAACTGGCCGTAGAGGGACAAAGCCCTGGCGCTTGGCTACGATGCTCGAGTGCAGGCTTAAGTGCCTGACGAAGAAACGCTTGGCATCTACGCCTCAGCAAGCGTTGCTGCAACTTTGGAGATAAAGCCACTCACCAAGACACTGGGAACTGATAGGATTGGACAGGATTGGTGTGCTCACTTTTTGTCAGTCTTCAGTTCAGCAACACAATGAGCACGAATGCCGATATCCACACACGCTGATGGATGCTGGGACCCTCGACGCTTGCAGATCAAGCGGATGATGAGCTCGCCTCTGCCTGGGCGATGCCAGATGCTTTCACAATGTGGTCCTGGCTGCCCTCAACCCTAAACCCTAAACCCTATACCCTATAAACCCTATACCGCTTATACCCTATAAACCTTCGGCCTGAGATGCTGACTTGCCAGCAAGTTTTGCTGTCTCTTCATGAGGTTGAAGAGCCTTTCACACATGTGGCCAACCAGATCATCGCCTGCGGCCAGACACAGCAAGACACACCTTGCGCCGCGTTCTGCTCCACCTGCCTCTCCAAGACTCTAAGACTTCCACAATGTGGGGGTTTCCCAAATTACGGGTACCTCATTGGGGTCCTTGCTATAAAGGATATCGTATGGGCCCCTTAGTTTCGTAAACTTCCATGTGTTCAGGGGCCTCTTCCCAACTTCTCGCCCGTGGACGCAAGCTGTGCCATGAGACGCAAGGCAGTGGAGGCCACCTGCGAGTTATACAAGCCAAGGTGCCCCCAAGTGTGCCCCAAGTGGGAGTTTACGAACATAGGGGACCGCAAATATGGACCCCCGAATAGTAGGATCCCATTACAAGAAGGAACCCATTAAGGTACCCCTGCTATCGTAAACCCCCAAGGTTTGTCAGCTGCGATGAAGATCCGAGCCAAGCCGCCTCCTCCTCCTCGCGCAACAAGGCCTGTAAAACTAGCACAGCAGCGTCCACTTGCAGGCATATCCCTGTGCTGCAACCCATGTGAGATGCCACATACTTCAAGAACAGATATACTTGGAGGTTCATGGGTAGTTAGAAGTGGGGTGACAAGTAGGGTAACTATACCTAACGACTTCGAACCCTAATTAGGGTACTCATACCCCTACTTACAACTTCCCATAGTAGGGCAACTATACCTATGACTTCTTCTAACCCTATTTAGGGTACTTATACCCCTAGTTATAACTACCCATCATCCTCCAAGTACACCAAGCCAGGAGTTCCAAAGCCAGGAGTTCCGAAGGCACCTGCCTTCATGGCCGCTTCGAAGAGCCTGTCTCGGACCTCTTGCATGCCACGCTGTGCCCGGCTGATGTTTCGCTGCCCCTAAACCCTAAACCCCAAACCCTAAACCCTAAACCCCAAACCCTAAACCCTAAACCCCAGAGGGCCTGCGGCTCCACCACCCGCTCGGGGCACCTGACTTTCAAGGCGAAGAGGCAAAGAGGGCGAAAGAGCAAAGAGCGCTCTGAAAAGCACTCCGAGAGCCCCTCCGAGAGGTCTCAGATCCAAGGCAGCAGCTTGTCCAGAAGCAGCTCAACCCAGCCTAAGCCAGGATGGCCCTTAAGAACCCTCTGAAAAAAAAACACTCCTGAAGATGATCCGCTTAAACCCACTAAGGGAAAATCTAGAATATCCCGAAGACCTACCTGGTACCCCAACAGGAGAGATGCACACCAGACTCGTTCAAGAGCAAGTCTGGGCCATCAAACACAAATGTGAGGAGAATCGCGAGTTCACTTCTGTCGAGTTTACCTGTGACCAAAAAACAGAACTGTGCACTCCAGACATGCCTACGGCCGTTAGCCATCATTGCTGACGCTTTCCGTGGCTCAACACATCTCCAGCAACATGCACACACTGAGATTGGGCGTTCGCTGCAGCCGGAAAAGACAATGAGGCACAACAGGTTTCGTAAACTACATGTACTTCTCCACGCGCTTGCGAATTCATGAATTGCCTGGGCAAGCCAAAACATGCCCAAGCCATGAAGAGTTTGACCTGTGATCAGCCAACATGTGGCACCGGTGACCGATTCCCGGTCTTGACCTTGTAGTTCTGAGGGTTTTTGGTGATCCGGTTACTGGTTCAGGAATAGAACGGTCAGGGCTTGCGCTACCTCCAACAACTTCATGAAAGCCGTGTCAGAGAGGTTGTGAGCCATGATGCTCGAAACTTGGCTTGTTGAGCGTGTTCTGTGGTGGGTGAGGAATAATAAGAGGCGCCTACGTTACCTCTGGCCTGAAAACGTTTCGGAATGTGACTCTGGCTCGCCGACAGCCTGCTAACCTTCTCAAGCAGCAGTCACTGTCCTCATGGATTCGAGCACGGCCAACATGGATTCACTCTGGAGTCTTAGAGCCCGGCTAAAGCATTTCAGCAAGACTTCCTTGCTGCGCTCCTGTCTGGGAAGCATCACATGTATGGCAATCGTCCGCAGTGAAAACATGGAAGGAAGCTCTCCCTGGCGCCTGCCCACCTACATCCGACATGGCACTGATGACTGCATCTGCAATCCCCTCCACAGGAAGGTCACCTCAATTGAAGCACTCAGCACCTTGCAGCATCTGTGCCAATGCAATCCAATTTGCGCATACATTCGTGCAAACGTCACATGCTTGCGGGCAGCAGCTGATACCAGTAATTTTCCCTTCGGGCTTGAGGCGAAGATGGTGGTGAGTACACCTAACGATGTTCATGCTCAATGGTCTGGGATTTCGATCTCCCTCATACTGTGATTGCTCCAAAGGCAAGTCCACATTTCAACCTCTCAACAAACTGAGCTGTTCAGCACCCAGCTCTGGTTCGTTCAACCGGAAGTTGCTTTCTCAACACGTCAACGAAAGACCCTCCAATATGGCAATGCTGGAGAGCCGAGCTCCCGGCTCGCAAGCTTTGAGGCTTCTTGCAGAAGCATGGCATTGGCCTTTGGCTTTTCCGGAGTACCTCTACCTCTTCTTCGAAGACTTTGACTTTGGGCAGGATGTGAGAAATAAGTAGGAAAAGTATGTCAGAAACTACATACTCCATGTGTGTGTGTGTGTGTGTCTTTCGACGGTGGCCATCTCAGTCGCGTCTCAACAAACATTCTCAATGCTGTGCAGGGTCGCAACTTGACAATGACGCGATGCCTGATCAGCTTCCTTCTGGATGGTGGGTTCTCCATCATCCAAGCAGTATAGCGCCTAGGCGAACTCGCAGGAAAGGGTCCACATTTGCACACATCTCAAGCTCTTTCACCCTAAACCCTGAACTCTGAACCTGAACCCTAAACCCGAAACAGAACTTCGAGGGCGCCGCCCCTGGCAGCAGCTCGGGTATCAGTTTGCGCAGGCCTCTCCGGGGCAGTCGTGACGTGTAGGGATCGGCGATATTATCTCTGCGGGGTCGGTTTTGACATGTCGGCTCGTGCTTTTGACATGCCGGCGCAACAGGCGGTCTTTTGGCATATCGGCGCGTGTTCTTGGCAGGTCGGCGTGTGCTTTTGCAGTGTTTTTTAGTATGTCGGAGGCAGCCGAGTTTTGCCACGTCGGCGCTTGTTTTTTGCATGTGGGCGTGTAGTTCTGGTATGTCGGCGCGTACTGTTGGCATGTCGGCGGGTCCTTTTTCAAGCTTCAAATTTATCACTTTCAAATTCCCCAACAAACTCTGGGTCATTCCTCCTAAAATACTTGAATTCCTCATAGTGAAATTCTGTTTTCTGTTTAACTCTGTCTGCGTGTGTTTTTCCATTCCGCTCGTGTTTTTTGCCATGTGGGCACGTTGTCTTTGTGCATGTCGGCGCGTGCTTTTTGGTATGTCGGCGCGCAGTTTCGGCATGTCGGCAGAAACCCTTCTGGCATGTCTGCGCCTTTTGTTTGCAGGTCGGCGGGAACCATTGCTTTTGGCAGGTCGGCGCCTTTTTTTTGCATGTCGGCGGAAATCTACTTCTGATATGTCGGCCCGCTTGTTGCCATGTCGGCGTGGCGTCCCCTGAGGGACCACATGAACCCCAAAATTGGGGTCCTCTACCCTGTGCTAATAACCTCATTAGGGCCTCAGAGTACTGGGGCATGTGAACCCCAAACCCTTTTGCAGCTTGTTTGACTTATCCTGAAGCTGTCCCTAAACCCTAAACCCTAAACCCTGCTGTGTCTTCCAGCCTCCCGGTGAGCCAATGCTGACTCCTGCACGGAGGCGCACGGGGCGTCCCGAAAACACAGTACAGTCGGGGGGTACCCCGGTACCCTGTCTCGGACGTCGGAGTCGTCTTACAAGGCAAAGGATACCAGTATTTCCGGGCCGGGGGGGGGATAGGAGAAATAGACACAGAATAGCCTCCCAAACCAACAAAAGCAGCCAAGCATGCCAATTCACGGCCTTCAGAGGCCGGTGCGCTTCGCTTGGGCATCCTCGGCCCCGAAGGAGAAACTGTGTTCTGTCGTTAGGGTTTAGGGTTTAGGGTTGTGGGTTTAGGGCTTAGGGTTTAGGGCTTAGGGTTTAGGGTTTAGGGTTTAGGGGTTAGGGTTTAGGGTTTAGGGTTTAGGGTTTAGGGTTTAGGGTTCAGGGTTTAGGCTTTAGGGTTTAGGGCTGCTTGGAGGTTCATGGGTAGTTATACGTGGGCTTGTAAGTAGGGTATTTATACTTCTAAACCTATTTAGGACATTTATCACCCTGCCAAAAACTACCCATGAAACCTCCAAGTATACAAGTAGAGGGGAAGCTGCAAGGATTCTTCCTTGAGGGCATGGCCAGGCAGGCATCGATCTTTGCGATGCCTCGCCTGCAGCAGGAAGCGACATGGGCCTACCGGGACTCTCTCGCCGTGGGTCGTCGTTGCTGCTGTTGCAGGGCTCAAGGGCTTGAAGGCCATGCACATTAGGGTTTAGGGTTGAGGGTTTAGGGTTTAGGGTTTAGGTTATTAGGGTTTTAGGGTTTAGGGCTGACATCCACGTGACAACTGGAAGACTACCTATGTGGCACTGCATATCACAACAGAGCTACATGCCACTTGCTGCAACATACCGGCTGCATCCAGCCAGCCTACTACGAGCATCTCCCCTTCACGTGCGGAGCCCTGCCTGAATTCTTGAAAGAGAGCACGCCGCTCTCGAGGTCAACCTGCTCACCAGGGTCACTGAACCGCAACTACTGCTGGTGCACGGCAACTTCTGACATGTTGCAGCATGCGGAAAATGTAGAAAATTGTAGAAAGGTGCAAGCCGCCAGCCAACATAATCTTGCCTGGAGCTTCACGGACTCCAGCAGCCACTTCAAGGCGGTCATCCTCATGTGGCAATCTTATTTTCGGGCGTAGGGTTTAGGGCTTAGGGCTTAGGGTGTAGGGTCTCGCGAACCGCGGAAACCCTTTCAACACTTCGCCTCCTGCACCACATTCGTCTGAGAAGCGGGCCGTACATTTGCATCCTGAAACATAGCGTCTGACACGCAGAGGGACTGCTGGTCAATGTCAGTGCTACATACCCAAAGAGCCCAATACCCCTTAATTAAGGAATATACCTTAAACTATAAAGGGATCCTAATTATGATTTAAGGTATATTCCTAAGGTATATTCCTTAATTAAGGGGTATTGGGCTCTCTGGGTAGTGCTAGTAATGATAGGGCTGAGGGGATGCCCAGCCGACTGGAAAACACCAGCGGGGGGGCATTCAGCTTTTTCAACCCTGCAACACCTCCTCGAATGTCCCCGCATTTTTTCAGGGACTCGAGTGGCTGAGCGACCGCATTGCGGGTGCTCGGCAGAGTTGAACTACAGGCGCAGGAGGACGCGCGACTCATGGCCTGCACGGACTTGCGGGGCACAGACTCCATTTGTAGGTTCAGGGGTAGTCATAAGTAGGGGTTCTGCCGGCTCCACTCACTGCGGCAATCAGGCTTCTTTCTCTCAAACGCTGTCCCCGAGAGAACTCAAGCAAGCAACCCTTGAGACCAGGCTGCCGGTATACGTACCCTAAATATGGTTTGAGGTATAGTTACCCTACTTCCAACCCCACTTATCACTACCCATGAACCTCCAAGTATCCCCATTGCATCCCAGTGAAATCGCCGGCGGGGCCTGTCTCTTGCTCGCTGCGGCAGACCCAGCAGAGCCAGTACCCCAGCGCAAGCAAGACCAGGGCGAGCAGACCCTGGCCAAGACTTTTCTTTCTCGAAAACTCCATCACATGCTCGGACAGAGGGCACGTAAAGCTCAGCCCCTCACGGCAGAGTACAGAGCCGCTCGAGATCGGCGGGTCAAGTGGCTAAAGACATGCCGCACATGAAGATCGCCTGAACAGCACGACACTGAAAGTTGTAGAGCTCGGCCCTTACAACGGAGTACAGAGATGCTCGAGATCCACGAGTCGAGTGGCTAAAGAAATGCCGCAGCCGCGAATGAAGATCGCCTGAACAGCACTGCACGCAAAGCTCAGCCCTCACAACAGAGTAATGTTGGACCTGCTTTAATAAGTTACCGCCCCCCCCCTCAACAGTCGCGACCCTGAATAAAACAAGACCCCAAACAGTCGGGGGGGGGGGGGTTCAGGCTGAACAGAGCAGGTCGTTGAGTAGCAGGCTCAGGCAAGCTACAGGTGCCTGAGGCACCATTTTTGAAAGTTTCTGAGCCCAGAGGAGGCTTGTGAGCAAGCAGGACGTGCAGAGAAATGAGCTCTCTTCAGGGTTTTGGAACCAGATCTCAAACTAAGAACTTGACCTCAAAACCATTAAAAAAAACAGGCCCGGCCCGAAATCTTTTCATTATAGCGGACCCCCAAAACAGAGGGTCCAGATCCTGAATAGCCGGAAAACTTTTCATAATAGCGGCCCCCTAGAAGATTGCGGGTGCAACATTACAGAGCCGCTCGAGATCCACGAGTCGAGTGGCTAAAGAAATGCCGCATATGAAGATCGCCTGCACAGCACTGCTCGAACGCTGCTGGACAATGCTGGAACATGCAGCTTCTTCTCTCGCGATAGTGCGCACTCTTACTCGGAGGGTCATACAAGTAGCTATAACAGAGGTTATAAGTACCCTAAATGGGGTTATAAGTATAGTTACCCTACTTGCAACCACTTCTAACTACCTATGAACCTCCGTGTATGCACTCATGATGGTGGGCCTGGAAGATCTGGAAGGTCGAAGATAGGAAGACCAACGCCACCAGTTGCTGTCATACTCGTGAATGTAGCAGACGTCCATGTCGACGTTGACACACTACTACTCGATGTTGTTAAGGAAACAGTTGTACTGAAAGTAGCTGAGGTGATTGAAGTTGTCGTTGGTGAAGTTGAAGTTACCGTGGTTCGCGTCACCGAGCTTTGGGTTGCTGTGGTCGTGGCGGTACTAGAAGTGGCCAACTGCAAGTCACATCCATCCAACTGCGCAAACGAAAAGAAAAACGTGCGAGCAACATCTGCCGGCGCTTCAGATCCAAACGCTAGCTCAATCTCATCAGCATGTCCTGTCAGATCAGTCCAAAGCAAGCATGATGGGCTCTGGGGAAGGGCTGTCGCGGCAGTCTCTCTTGACAGCTGCTAGAGGCCAAACCGGCTACAACGGTCGCTTCTAGAACCCGTCTCATAACGAGTTTAGGGTTTAGGGCTTATAGAGTGCTTAAATAGTGCCATGCAAGGAACTGTAGACCAGCGTCACCGTCTTCCGCAGCTGCTCTCCGGTGAGCTCCCGAATGTAGGTCGGGTTGTCGGGGCCCAGGTCAGCCCCCGATCTCTCCTTGCAAAAGAACTGACATTGTCCCAGCACCAGACAGCTTTGACGGGAGGGATATTGTTATGTTGTTGTTGTCCTTATTGTTGCTATTCTTAGTATTATCATTATTCTTATGCGATTTTTACTTTTCTTCTGATCAGAATATTTATATGCTGGACAGACTCTTCTTAGACAATCTAGCAAAAATATGCCCAAAGAAACGGGGGCTTCCGATAATAGGGGTACCCTTTTCCTATAAATTTATAAAAAGGAATATACTATCCTGGGGGTAGATTGGGGGTACCCTTATTGTGGGAAACCCAAACAGGCTTCTTTAACCTGGCACAGACGCGGCCGAGACGACCTTCTGCCAATACTCGGTGACATTGCCCATCCTCTCAAAACCTATCTCGGTGTCCTGGGACCAGTATGCCAAGTGAGGCCCGTACGTCACGACGTACTCCCTCAGAGAGCTCCTCGAGTCTGTCTCAAGGTCGCAGAGCAAGATTGGAAAAAAGTTCAGGCGAATCGGCTTGTCTGCAACATCCGAGATCAGGATGCGCACTCGAAGCACTTGGCCACCAAACTGATTGATGGAAACGAACTCCCCGTCCAAGCCGTTCCACTGGGGATCTGCCGGATGGTATGCGCTTACCGCATGCATGGAGATCTTCACATCCCGGACATCAACTCCCTGCCATCGTTGGCTCACCAGAAACACCAGGCCCTCGCTGCCACCATCCGGCCCCTTGCCTGCCAAGTTGTTGTGCAGTATCGCCTTGATGGGATAGCTTTGTAGCCCGTGGCGGCAGGCAGTAGGTGCTGAGGAGTGCAGTGGGCTGCTGGCAGTGGCAGCAGCGAGCTCGCTCAAGCTGACTTTGGATCCATGCTGCGGAGTCCTCAGGCACAAGATGCTGGCTTGCGATACGAAGGGACCCCTCATGTAGACCCCCAAGTAGTCGGATCCCCTGATAAATCTTATAACAAGGACCCATAAGGTAACCCTAGTATGGTAAACCCCACATAGCAAGCATGGTGTGATGCAACCATGGAAAGCAGCTGTAGTGAGAAAACGGAACTGGGCGATGGGCGCCGGATGTTGATGTGCCGTGGCCGAGGAGGCGATGGCCGAGGTACAGACCATGAGCAGCACAACCGCGAAAACAATCCTTAAGTCCCGGCACTCTCCGAGCTTCTATGCAGTTGTTCGTTCTTGCAGTTGGAAAGCAGTCGAACCCAGTCAACCATCTGTGCTGTTCAGCATGGAACCGTGTTGCTAAGAACGGAAGTATGTTGCTTTGTGTGGGAAGCAGAGGCAATACCTGTGACGACAGCGTCAAGCGTCGCACCCACGACAAGCAAGCCTCTCCATGTGCTGCCAAGAAGCTGGCAGACAAAGCTCCATGAAAAGGGAAATCGGGCATGTGCCGGTTGATCCCAGGCCTCCTGGAGACCTGTGCGATCACCTGGGATTTTCCAGCCAGAGACAGCATACGAACATGCGGACCTGATTGACATTCTGCTGGAACTGACATGCCTTCCAGCTCAGCACAGAGCAGAGATGTTCGGGCACACACGGCTCCATGCACAAGTTTGGGATCTAGGGCTTCGACAAAAGGTTAGACGGACATGCGGAGTCCCCGCAAGTGGGCAATGACGCGGTTAGGGGCTGCACCCCTCGACGCAGCTGTCGCATCTGAAGCGTCTGATCAGCTTTGGGACGTTTCGAAACTAAAACAAGGTCATACCTGTCGGGCGCGTGATCCTCAAGACTGTTCTCTTCTTTTGGAGCTGCGGATCCTTGCTGGAGTGCGAGACTACGGAGACCGTCGGAGGACTCGAGCGCGCGATTTCTAACGAGAGCGGGTGTCTGCGTTCAGCTCCACATTGCCATGAAGCCCTTAAGTCTACCAAGGCACTGGAAATGAGAGACTGCTGCTCTTCAGCAGACTCTAGTCTTCCCGCCATCGCGCCCGCACCTTCTAGCAGGCCAACGTCAAGACACTGTCAACATATCATAACATTTTGCATCCGATTGCAATCCGATCCAGCACCATAAGGGCGAAGGGCCTTTTTGTCGGTGTCGACATACATGCAACGGAGATGAACCACTGTTTGTTGCTGGTGTCTTGTTGTTTCTGCCTGATGCTGCGCGGAAGTTACCTGTCCTTGAAAACGAGGCCTTGCCAGAGCCAGGTGGCAGCAGATGCAGCAGCAAGTCATGATGGCACGACATACAGCCTTGACATTGAGCTTTCACGCAAGCCTTGAACGCTCGTAATCCCTTAGCTTCTCAATCCCTTAATTAACCCCTTTAAGCCCACCCCAAGAGAAGTATGAGGCTAACACAGGTTAGCGGTCCAACTCCCTCAACGGTTCTGCAAAAAGGGCCTCGGAGCGCTGCTCGCCCCCTGCACGGCAGCAGCGCGCCACCGTGGCAGCCGCCTCTCCCAAGGCCGTCTGCAGTCTCTTCTGATGTTGCTTCTGGGTTTAGTTTAGGGTTGAGGAACACCGGGGTAAAGGGATTCTGGTGCGCGCGCATGGCCTTCGGACTTGAGCCCCGAGCAGTGTCCACATGCTAATCTTCTCTGTACCGTCCTAGGGAATGTCCTGCGAGGCAATGCTTACGCAGAGCCTCTCTTGCCCCCACGAAGAAACCGGGCCCCAGAGTGCCAAGCGCCTCGGCTATCGCCTTCTGCGTTCGTTCTGGGCGGTCTGCCGCAGAACGTCGGATGTGCTCCAAGAGGCTTTCCAGACACTCCTGGGCCTGAGATTCCCAGGTTGCAGAAGTTGCAGGCAGCTCAAGGTAGGAGCCAGGACCTACAGCAGCGGGGGGTGGCACCTTCAAGCGGAAGTCGCGATTCTCGCTGGCAAGGATGCCAAAGAGGCCCTCCAAGTAGTGAGGGAGGAAGGAAATCATGTCCACCTGCAAGCAGTCATGCAGACGTAGATGATGTGAATATTGGTTAGTGTTTATATATGTACACATATATATATATATATGTATATTTAGTTCTTTCTTTCTCTATGAATGTATGTATTTATTTACTTATATCTATCTATTTATGTTTATAAAGCTGCAGATCATGGGCATGCACGTCATGGTCGTGACCGGTGCCTGTGGCAAGGAATCCAAGAGAACAATCCAACCGAGCACCAGCTGGCGAACCTTCGACCAGCGTATCGGACCGATTCCAGACTCAAGGGGTTTAGGGTTTAGGGTTTAGGGGTTTAGGGTTTAGGGTTAAGAAGCTTTAGGAGGCCACCACTTTTCAGATGCACACGCAGCTCAGTAGACGCGTTGCTGAAGGAGCTTTGTGGGTTCTCTGGGCCATCCAAGACAAGCATAACGCGAGGTTGCCATCCAGATTGAGACAAGCGTCGTTTGGATTGAGTATGTGGATTCTGCAGGTGATCAGTGGAATCAGCCTTGGCAAGGCAAGGGCGTCGCAGTTTATCGCGCTCGTACCCAGCTCCTTGCACAAGCTCCGATCAACTGACAAAGCCGCTCGTAGTACCGGTTCATGTAGGCTACAAGGATAGGCATGCCTAAAGGGACCAGGGGTTGGGGCCAACATGCTCACGGCCGGGATGCGCGGCAAAGTCAAAATGGCGCTGCTCCATGACAATGTCACGGATGAGACGGTCCAGGCATTGGGCACCCTCCTTTATGGTCTGCTCGATGTCTGTGTAGAGCCTGCAGAGGATCAGAGCATAAGCACTGTAAATCTTGTTGTCAAGCTTAAGTTGCCCAGCTACACATGCCACATGACTTCTGAACTCAAAGGATTGCAGGCTAACTGTGCTTGCCTGCAGAGACCATCGAAGACAGCACTCATGTTTCGAAGAATCCCAGCCCGGATTACTTTGGCAATGTTGTAGAAAGCTTCGCAAGCTTTGTACCTGACCATAGAGTCCTGTCACGCGAGCAAAAGAATCTCAGACTGGGGTTGCCGTGGCCCTAAACCCATCCTAAACCCTAAACCCTAAACCCTACCCCTCCTCATCCGAGAAGCAGACCAGGACCGGGTCCATGAGCGACTCGGCATGCTGTTGCGCGCGGGCCTCTCCACGAATCGAAGCCGTCGGAGTGCCGCGGTCATCGTCTTGCTTGGGCTTGCTAACTTTTCAGCTCCTTCTCCATGGCAAAGGTCACGATGCTCAGGGCGATGAGCCCTGTGGTCCGCTGGTGTGGCCTTGGAGCCAGCTGCAGCAGCCCTGCAAGTTGAACTAGCAGATGAAGCGCCAGGAAACCAACAAGGGTAGGTGCACAAGAGTTTTCACTTGGGAAGAATCCATCAAAAAATGACCGAGATTGCCTGCAGGCCTGCAAATTCAAGGGCTATGGATGGCCATAGCTGCACTCCGAGAGAGAGAGAGAGCAACAAAGAGAGAGAGAGAGAGAGAGAGAACAAAAAAATATGAAACAAAAAACAAAGGGGGGGGGCCCACAGCCAGAGAAACCAGAGAGGGGCAGGCAAGAGGCACGCAGAGGAAGGAAGAGGAAAGCGGGGAAGCCGGGGAGGCCAGAGGGCTGACAGAGTGTCCGTGCGTTCGCTCGTTCTTGGGGAAGTGGTTTAGGGTTTAGGGTTTGGGGAGGTTTAGGGTTTGGGGTTTAGGGTTTAGGGTTTAGGGTTTAGGGTTTAGGGTTTAGGGTTTAGGGTTTAGGGTTTAGGGTTTAGGGTTCAGGGTTTAGGGTTTAGGGTTTAGGGTTTAGGGTTTAGGGTTTAGGGTTTAGGGTTTAGGGCTTAGGGTTTAGGGTTTAGGGTTTAGGGTTTAGGGTTTAGGGCTTAGGGTTTAGGGTTTAGGGTTTAGGGTAAGCTGCGATCACAAGATTGCCCCCTGCATGGCCGGGTGCATGGGAAAGGAACTGGCACTTGCGTTGAAGTGCAAGGACCGGGCCAGGCACTGGTGCAGAAGTCCTTCACGGTAGCTTCTGGACTGGTTGCTGCGAATCGGACCATCACTTTATCATGAAGTCCTGAACAATGTATGCGATCAGTCTGGTGACCTTCTCATTCTCGTTGAAGCTGATGTTTGCTCCAGCCTCCCCATCTCACGCAAAACGATGCAAAATCAGTATGTGCCAGGACTGAAATTCCCTTCTCGCATTGGTGAACACAAGCCTGCGCTGTTATGAACCCATGTTGTTGCTTGTGATATTCAAGGTCCATGCTCGTTTAATGGCGACGCGTTGGGAATCCACGAACGAAATGCTTTCGATGGCATCTTCGAGTGATCTTCAGAATTGCTTGCATCCTCTACTTGTGCATAATATGGTTGGTGCCGTGCTAGAAACATCGCAGACACACCCCACACACACTCACACACACGAACATCTCACACATTTCTCACACACTCCTGAGCCGTGTACTGGCCCAAGAAAGGTGCGGAGGCTGTCGAACATGTCCTTTTCGGCCTCCCAGCAGATGCTTGAACCACAAGAATGCATCTAGCGAGGCTCCCCCACTTCGCACGATAATAGGCAAACCCCAAGTGCTGTGAGGTATTAGAAAGGTAGGTACTTGACTCAAAGCAAGAGAAGGGGAGAAGAAAATGGCTGCATAGAAAAAAACAGGCTACAAGTAGCCGAATGAGGTAGAACCAACCATAGCCGAACCCTACTGGTAAGCTCACTCAAAGCTACCTCCACACACTTCCAAGTATGTTCATATAACGCTTCAATAACATGTTCAGTGTAAAGCGGTTTTTGTTGCTTTTGTCAACGGCAGAGTCGAATGGGCCAGTAGAGTACCAGATTTTTTCTGCTGCCAAAACTTGAGACGAGCCGCCTTCTTCCTTTTGTTGTCATCTTTCTCCCCCAAATTGACGAGAATGCCTTGCCAAGTTGACAGGGCATGGTTGCACGATGACTTCGCTCTGGGAATACGCGGCGGGTCACCTCGCAAAGCTTCATCCGCCATAAAGCGAGTGAGTCCAGAGCGAAACTAGCTGAAGCATGAGTTGATGTGTTCAAACAATTTTGATCGGAAAAACAAAACCTGTCGGGCAAGAACAAGACGTGTCTCCGATCATCCATAGTCACATACAGCTGGAGCCAAGAAGATCAACATGCCCAGCAGAACTCATCATTGCCTACAAGCATACAAAGCCTGTGCGAAAACGTAGGCAGTAGTGTTTTTGGCTGTGGCTAGGGTAGATGCGGTCAAATTCTGATCTTTGCAGAGGCAGCATGTGCTCTTCGTCACACTCAGCCACACGTATCCACCCATTCATGGGTGCACGCTGTCCGAGGGCAGGCCGGGAACCTCATCGAACGAAACTGGCTTGGATCAAGCCTTGTCGCCTCTGTGCACGGAGTTGCTCGGAGACGATTCGACTCCCATGCCCGAGCACCACTTCAAACATATGCGGGCTGCTCTGACCTCTCCGGCACCAGCGCATTGCACTTGTGTTGTACCGAGCTGCCACATCTCTGCGTCTCTTTTCAGGCTTCTGGTTGACACCTTTCAGATCCCATGTTAGCCTGTTAGGACTGCTGATCCAAGCTCAGAGTGCCCAAGATGTACAGGGTGTTGGGCTGGACCACGCTGGCCACTGTGAACCAACGGCTTATCGATTTCAATCAGGTGAAACCTGCGGAACCTCCACACACCATGGATCGGCGTGGAGTGCTCCACTAACGTCGGCGGGAGAACAAGTCGCACCCATGGGCCTGGCCACAGTCTTCGCCCCGCTCGACACTCACACAACCCTGCTTACGATACTTACACCAGTCTTACACCACTCTTGCGCCGGTGTAAACCCAAGGTTGCAGACCGCAGGGCCCATAGCACAATGATGCACGGTTTGACTTCTCATGTCAGCTACTTGTAGGTTCATGGGTAGTTTTAAGTCTTACAAGTAGGGTTATACGTACCCTGGATATGGGTTCAGGTATAGTCGGTATAGTTACCCTACTTACAACCCCACTTATCACTACCCATGAACCTCCAAGCACTGTTCCTTTGCCCATCCCGACACGCAGCGGGACCTGTGAGGCTTCACTGGCCCCGGTCACGCCCGGGCTGATGCAGCTTCTGATGCAAGTGCGGCGGCCTGGGCACAGCACGTGCAGTCTTGGTGACAGGCCTCTCAAGCATGGGAAGTACATGGTAGAAGCCTTCTGACCCTGCACCCTAAACCCTAAACCCTAAACCTGATGAGTTGAAAAGTCAGGGATCGGACCATCTCAGTCACGCGGCGCTCCTCCTCGGACATGGCCCTCGAGTGGGAGTGGGACTTGCGGTTCAAGCTTCTTCACACAGTTCGTCGCATCTGGCGAACTGCAGTGTCTCTCTCTACGGGCTCCTTTCTGCGCAGAGCGCAATAATCTCAAGTATCGGTGGCGTCTCAGCGCTGCTTCGCTTGAGCACTCTTCCTTTGGAGCATGTGAAGCCAAACATTTGTGTTATCCTTCAGCTCTGAGCAGGAAAAACTGGGAAGTGAAATGACAGGCTGGAGCTAGAGAATGGCTACAGTCGCTGTTTCCACATCAGGCCCGTCATCTCACAGGGGAGAGCAGCTACGATTCTTCAGTTCTTGTCTGGAGGTCCTTGGCCCGGCAGCGCATATGCTGCACCCAGGGACTTCAAGACTTTTGCTGCCTGCCTCCACCCCGCCCCCCCGTGCTCTGCGCAGGCAAGCTGCGAAAGGGCGTGTATCTTCCACTTTCGTCATACGGCCGAATGCAGTTCGAAAGTTGTGCAGGACCCGACCACACCATCTCGATCTCGTAATACAACCTTAAGGTGGAGGAAGAGCACTCTTGCGACATCGCCTATGCAGCTAACGTGACGATGCAGCCGGGGCACGTGGAATTCGGCGGAATATCCTTTCAAGCAGAATCAGACAGCGACTACTTGAAGTCAAGAGCCCAGGACTAACATAAGCACTTTCCAAAGGAAACCTATGCACGAGAGCCTGATCCTCCATAGGTTCCATCACGCTCCTGCTCTGAGCATGCCGCATAGCAACAGCTTCGGAATGATTCAGTTTCTTTGCAGGTTCTTCAACTCCTACGCATGAAAAACAAACATTGCCTGTGCACCTAACCGTGTCTCCTCCCCTTCTGGCCAAAGGCAAACCTTAGTGGAAAACGAGTGCGGGGTTCTGAGGCACGATGCGCCATTCCTTGTTTTGGCATCTTGCCAAGCTTGAAAGACAGGTACTAGGATATCTTCGGACAAGGAGCTCCGGGGGAACAACTACCCGTCGTATCTCTCCCGGGCGCATACCCAGAAGCGCATCGGTCAGCGAAGGCGGGTCGTAAGGCGTCAGAGGCGTCTGCACGAAACGCACGCAGCAAAGCCTTTCACAGTCTCGTGCTGCGTGGCCCCAGCCTTTCCGACTTTGATTCTCTTGGGGTCCTGGTAAGGCCCGACTTCCTTAGGCGGAAGCACTTTGCACCGCACGTAAACCTTGGGAAGAAGAGAAAAAGAAGGATCAACTGAAAACAATCAAGAAGAACAATGGTAGCAAGCGCTGGCAGTCTTCTGAGGGTAATGTCTAGGAAACATCTAAGAAGTACAGTAGCAAGAGGCACAACAATGATCAAGTCCAGCCCACACAACCACAATCACAACCACAACAATGGCGGCGGCAGCGGCAGAGGCGGCGGCGGCAGCAGCAGCAGCAGCAGCAGCAGGAGCAGCAGCAGCTACAAGAAGCAACAACATCGATGATCATTCGTAGCATTCACAAGAATAGCCATGACGAGTTCTCAGCTATCATCATGATTCTTTCTGTAGCAATGATGCGGACAATGACACAGATGCTGGTGCTCAGTGCAGCGCCATCCGGCCGACCAGTGTGAGCTCCCACGGCAGGCCCTCCTCGAAGTTCTCCAGCCAGGCCCGGTGCTTCACCCTGCAATTCTGAGGAGCACAGGAGCTTAAGGTTGAGGCTTGAGGGCTCAGGGTTGAAGAGCTTCAAGGTCCGTCCCTGCCTAACAAGGTCTCCCATCTGCGTTGCGTCGCACTTGCCCTCTCGCAACACCTGCAGTTCGGGGCCAAGCAACCTCTCACACTATGACCGCCATGATCATTCACTGGTGGCGTTCTTGCTCTGGAGGTGACTCCCCAACCCTCTTCTCCGCAGTGTGCCTGATAGTCCATCTTGGCATACTGAGTCTTCCCAGTTCGCAACACTGTCAGATCCTGGGTCAATTCCTCCTCAGCATTGGCCTCCGCGGTGCAGCCATGCGAACACTGCAGTTCCCTGTTGCCCACGACTTTCAAGAGCTACACACAGAGTATGTCGAGGCACTCCCGGCGCAGCGTCAAGCAACAGGGATCCGGCAACACCTGCCAGCCTCGGCAGCTGCTAATACTTACGAAGGATCCCCTTCTGTCGGAACTTGTCCATACATCGGGATGCCAGAGAGTCCGCACACGAAGGCCAAGTGGCGCGGCACGTCTGCTGCTTTCCTGCACTGGTCTGCCTGGCGCGTCGGGTGCGTGCTACGAAGCCCCTTCTCTCAGAGGCTCTCCATGACTGCAACACCTGGCGTGAGGAAGGCCAGTGGAAGCCATGCTGCGGAGCCCAGAAGTGCCAGCGCAGGCCTTGCCACAAGAGGCGACATCTCGTGTTCCCCCCCACCCTCTGTGCACACAGGTGAGAAGGATGCTCATCACTCGAGGCTGAAGCACTATTCTTCTCCGCTCCATGGCTGAAGCCCAGGGTGTGGAACTTTGAGCCAAGATCAAGCGCTGCAGACCAAGGGCGACACAAGCCATCAAAAGCACAGGGACGCAAGGAGGAGGGTGACGGCCAAGGTCTGATAATCCCTGATAGAGGTCCAGAGTTGCCAGGAAGAAGGGTTCATGTAGGTTTATGGCCTAGAAGAGGGATGGTGAAAAACAAGAACGATCGCGAGCTGCCAAGCAGCGAGCTGCTTTCGTGAGATTGCAAGAAAGCCTCTGAACTGTCAGTTTAAAGATGCTAGATTGGGAGCCCTCCGAAGAAGATTGGCTCTCCCTGAGGCACCGGCACACGGCGAGCCGGGGAGGAGCTCGAACCACTCTCGTTGTTGGCGGAGCCCTTGAGGCAGGGTGTACATATCTGCACGTGCTGCCCCACTCCAAAACCAACGCACGCAGACATGCGCACCCTACACCCTGAACCCTAAACCCTAAACCCTAGACCCTTCAAGTCTGCTGGGTGTGTTTCTCAACGCATGCCCGGCGCTGCTACAAAACGAGCGGCGTCTGGCGTCGCAATCACTTCGCCGACCACAGGCATCGACCTGGAGGGGTCAGAGCGAGCTGCCCAAATAGAACAAGGCGAACTGACACAAAGAATCGTGGAGGAAGGTAAGGCAAGTAAGGCAAGCAGGGCAACGGCCTCTCAAGCATCTGGACGTGTGACCGTCTGTGGAGTATATCATCTGCACACCTTCGACGGCTGCGGCTAAGCTCCGTGCGAATAGGGATGTCCATCTCCAGGCGCCAGGCCCTGCGACCACGGTGAAAGCCCGAAGCTGTGCGCGCTTAAGGCCTCCGGCTCGCCTGATAGAGACCCTTGCCGGCACCAAAAGAAAGACAGCTGAACCAGGTAAGAACCTGAGCGTTCGCTGCACACAGGAGAAGCCCTGCGGCCCTGTAATTGGAAGAAAAACTGACATGCTGGCATCGAAAGTAGCCGAGCTGTGTCTAGGCCGCGGGCAACGAGGCTGCCGAGGAAAACATAGCGAAGCGGTCCATCACCTTCGCCGAGGATCAATCTCGGATACCGCTTACGCGCAAAAAGATTCGACTTTTTTAAACGCACACACACACAGAGACACACACACACACACACTTCTTTGGCGAAAAGGCTGTCTAAAATGGCAAGCCCCCAATAGCAATATTGGAGCGCGGGCGACGTTCGCGGACGAAGGCTGCTTTCCGCCGGTGCGCCGCTGCACTCCCCTCAACTCCAAACCTCCTAAACCCCTTAAAACACTCTTAAAACCATAAAACTTACCCCAAAAACGTGTACGAAGTGCACGAAATACAGTCACGAACCAACACGGGCTAGTTCATGTCATTCACGTCCGTCCTGTACTCTCTTATTCGTCTCTGTCTTCGCTTCGATGCAGAAAACAAAAGAGAGTCAATTATAAAGGGCCTTGAAGAGGGCACGCCCTTTTCCCTGTATCGTTCTACAATCATAAGAATGTGAGGGGGACAGGAATAAAGAACTGTGAGTGTCGTATCATTCCTCTTGCAATAAGAATATTGGCGGAAGAATAAGATAGGCAAATGACCAGGATCATTCGCTATGCGTGCACCTATCGCACCCGTAGTGCAATAGTGAATAACACTAACGGCAATAGTCATAATGATACTAGTACAGACGGCAATTGAAACATCAAAAAGGGCGAACCCTATGTATCAGCGACAGCTGTTGAATGTCGAAACCATAGCAATGCAGGCACCAGTTGAATTCACATCAAATATTGCCTAGAGTAAGAAGACGTATTGTCAAATTGTAGTGGTAGGACCTTGCTACAAGATGCACCACTTCAGAGTGTCATGGTAAGTGATTTTCGTCTGTTTCGTCCGGTAGCAGTGGTCTTGTTCTTGAAATGTTCTTGAAGGGGTTTGACCGGCGGGTTGGGAGCGCGTGTGGTGGCGCAACTCGCGTCAGACTCTCAGACACTCAGACACCTAGGGGTCTGGGTGTCTGAAAGTCTGGGCATCTGCCCTGACGCGAAGCCCTGCCGGACACATAGGTGCCTGCCGCTGAGGCACACAACGCGATCGCGGCACGCTCACGACAGCACAGCTAGCCCAGCTGTCGCTTTTGGCACCTCGGACCTACCTGAGGACCAAGCTATGCATAAGCTCGCAGTCTCGCTGCTGCGTCGCATATGCCTCAAGCGCACACCTGGGTAGCCAGGTGATGCGCAACATGTTGGTGATATGTGCCCCGTCCGGCTGGGCTCTCGGACGCCTCGGCCCCTCCACCCATGCGGATGACGTATCGCAAGAAATTGATGCTGTAAGCCACCTCAAACAAGCTGCAGGAGACTTTGTTCACTTCTGCAATGCCGCATTGAAGTGCAATACTGCCAGGGGCCCCGCAACAAAAATCAAGTTTGCGCCACAAAAGAAGAAGAGCAAAGTCCTGGTCGAACTTTTTTAGGCCAGCAACGATCAGATTCCAGCGAGTCTCCGCACAAGGCTAATGTTTGAATAGTCTGCGTGAACACAAACGGCCTTCGCTCATTGCGCATTTGGGGGTTTAGGAAAATAGGGGACCCTAGTATAGACCCCCAAGCTGTAGGATCCCCTTAGAATCAGGACCCCAAGAAGGCACCCCTAGCATTGTAAACCCGCATTTGGGGGCGTCTGAATGAATGTCCATCCTGTGGGTGTAGAGCGCGCCGTAGTACCCGCACGCAGGAATGCTGAGCTCAATGATGAGCCTCAGAGAGACCGAGGGGACGTGCCCACTTCGGGTGCATACGGAAGCAACGCAATGAACACAACTCTGAACACTTGACTAGGGCTTGGGCTGGCTGCACCCCGACCAAAGCTCATCCGGAGAGTTTGGATCACCTCCGCTCGAACTTCTTGTGTGCCATCTCACGGAGGCTCGACTGGTTCTGAGCTCTTGCATGCGACAAGCTGCTACAGCCAGATAGCAACTGCCCAAGCCTGGATCGGTGTACTGACCCAGCAGCAATCTCGCAATGAAGGCGCAGATATAATAGGTCGAGCCTCGAGCTACATGCTTAAGAAGTTGTTTCAACGTCTAACGTAGCGGAGCAGAACACAACACAGCGGAACGTCTGGGCTGCCAGACTGATGACAGACAGCATCACCACCCGTTTGACAGCCTCCCAGAATTTTGAGGAAGACCACCAACAGTTGTACGTTGGCTTGTCTGCATAGCACAACAGCTGTAACAACTATAACAAGAGCTTCCTTTCTTGCTGGAATCTGTGCGTAGCAAGGACATTTGCGCAGCTATGGACTGCGCGAAGCATCCCTGTAACATTTAGCTATGATTAGGGCTCGCAGCTAAAGGCGAGTGGAACAAATTATGATGCCCTCTCCGTTCGCACTCCCGGGGGGAAGAAGGCACCAAGAACTGCAAGTCACCGCACATCTCTCATGGATGGCACAGAAATTCCGGCGAGCGAATCTCCCATCTGCAGCCAGTGCTGCGGCACAAGGCAGCAGGCGAGCAGAAGCGCTCACTCCCTTTAAGTTGCAAAGAGTCTAACTGTGCAAAAGAAGACTTCGTCAGCAGCCACTTTCGCGCAAATGCGGGCTCACAAGGAATTATCTGCAGCGCGCCGAACCTCTGATATCAACCACCCTCTCGCGTTAAGGCCTGCTTCAGACTCACTGAGGCATTCAACCGTCTATCCAAGGACAAAGTCGCTCATGCTCTGCCAGCAGCATCCGAAAGGAGCGACAGGACCTCGCTCGCATCGCGAAAACGTCATGTCAATGTGGCCAACCTTTTATGGGCTATACACATGAGAGCAGACAGCAGCTTTCTGTTTCGACGCATTCGCACGCTGAATGCGCACCTCCTTGTGCGACTCGCCCTTCTTCTTCAGCATGACAACCTCTGCACGTGAACTCTATCTCACTGCTAAGCACTCAAGTTGCCCCAAAAGCCTCTTGAGCAGTCTTGCCGGCCGAGTTCTTCAGTGCTGGGTTGGCACCCTGCTCCAACAGCAACTTGACCTGACCCGGGAGCAGATGTCGCTTAACGCGACGCGGAATACGTCTCGGATTACCCCTAAGCTCTGAAAAAAGAACTGGGCAGCTGACCATCTTGGCGTTGCCCACCTCCGCGGCCTTGTGCAGTGGGTACGTGCTGCTGAAGAAGGACTTCTTGACAGTGTTGATGCCGGAGAAGCCTGTCAAAGAACGCTCAAGATCCACTACTTGTTCACTTTTTACTCTCGCAGCTGGGCATCTTATCCGAAGCTGGCACTGCAAACGCAAGCCCGGCCCACAGCGACAAGGCCCTCAAGCCCCTTCGGGGCCCTTCATTTGCCCACATGCGCATCATTGCACATACGCGCGCTGCCTTGCTTCTTAAGCCATGCCATCACTTCGTTCTTGTGCAGCGCCAACTCCTGCGACCCATTTCGGAAGGCAGGAACTCACCAGCCAAGAGCTCACATGAGCTCATGCGTTCATGCTAGCAATGGTATCGCTCCTCCTGGCGCTTCTTCTCAGCCTGAGCGGCAGCGGCCGCCTCCGTCTCAGCGGCTTCCTTGGCTTCCTCAGGAGGCGACTAAGCCGGTTTAGGGTTTAGGGCTTTACAGGGTTTAGGGTTTAGCGTCCAGGAGGTCGGAATAATTACCAGAAGCATTCCGCGATGGCTACGAGAACCTATCCTGACTAATAAGGCCCCCTAAAGTATTTTAATCTCCAACCACCTGCCACCAATCCCCTCTATCATGTATCGCTCGGAGCGCCTTCTCGCGACGCTCGGCCTCCAGGCGCGCACGCTGGGCCTCCTCACAGAGGACCACAAGGTGTCATATCAGTTAGCCGTGTTACTTGTATATACTTTTATCAGGTGGCCCCTGACATTTTAGGGTACCCAAAAAGGGACGATCATTTTGAGAACTGACCATATCAGGTTGATCGACCTCCAGGCCCTGAAGTGCGCATCTGCAAGCAAGTTGTGAGAACAAATCAGATGTCTCCACATGCCCGAACTCCCCTAGAATCTCCGAGGAAAATATGATGATAGTGGCTGCGACTGAGGCAGGGCATAGCCTCGCCTACACATACCTGGGCTTCGAGTGGCTAAGATGGCATCGCAGCGCCAGGCGCCTCTTCTTCCTTGCGACGGCGCTCCTCGGCTTCCTTCTCTTGCTGTTGGCGGAGCGCCTCCTTCACAGACATATGAATCAAATGACTGCAAAGATGCACTGAAAGATCCGAAATATCCGAAAAAAATCGAACAAGCTCGTGGACAAACTTGAAGCAGGCACTTGCACAACCTAGTGATGCTCTAGCGACAAACATCTCCAGCGTCCTGCTTTTCAGCTGCTTCACGTGCTTTGCTGCGCTTCTCTTCCTCCTCCTTTGCTGCCTAACATCCGACTCAGGGGAAACAAAGTCGACTCAATACTTCCAACCTGGAATACCTTTTGCTCTGAGTCGCCTGTTCTTCTGCGACACGCTTGGCAAGATCTTCCATGCTGACCTGTCAGGCAATTGATACAAAAAAGCTTCGCTTTTTGCGAGGCGCTCGACGAGAAATGTTGGCACGCATGCTGTACAGTATTCAATTCTATTTCAGCCGGGCTCCCTCCCTCCCTCCCTGCTTTGCCTTGACAGTGTTGGCAGACGGGTTTGGAGGGTTGCAGGCGGAGGCGCAGCTGAAGTCGAACATCTTGGCCTTAGGATGCTGGTAGTTGGGGACGGCTTGCTGCGCGTTTCTCACACAAGTTTGTGTTTGAGACCAACGCAGCACACTCCGAGGAACAGGCGAAGCAGATGTGCACAAAGAAGGTCCAAGGAGGCAGGATTTGGATGGCTTGAACACTCTTTGGCAGGATATTGTCACACTCATTGCAAAGTCAGAGGTTTCGATCGCATGTCACAGAGGCAAACGCAAGATACAGTCTAGACCCGCGGCAGCAAATCAAAAAACAAGACCCTTGCACACAGAAGATCCAACCACTACTTTCGGCGAGCCAAATGGGACCTTGATGACGTTCGCATCACCGGTTGGCACGCCGAAGGTGATTCCAAACTCCTCTGCAGCTACCACCAATATTTGGCATAAATTGGCATAAACCAATCAACCATTGGCAGCAACGGCAACGGAAACGGCAGCAGCATGACAACTCAGCAGCAGCAGCATGACAACTCAGCAGTAGCAGCAGCAGCAGCAGCAGCGGCAACCACAACAACAACGGCAGCAGCGTCAACGGAAGCAATGTCAACAATGCAAGGAAAACAACAGGCCACAAGAACCAGGCCAACACGGTTGCTCGGACCTTCATTGGAGACTCGGAAATTTGACCGGCAGGCCACCAGGGCAAGTTGATGTCTGCAGGGTTGCGCGTTCACAAGTTGATGCGTGATAATTTTTTGTGCAGACATAGAACATGTGACCATGTATATCATATCTGGCCTGCGGCTCAAGAAAGATTGGCAAGACGTGCAACATTCGGACACCAGCTCCTCCGCTTGTAGCCTGCGTAAATCGGCCGTGCCCTGGGCAGGAAATCCGAACGCATGATAAGGGCAAGTGTCAACACATGAAGGCGGCATCAGATTCAGCCCCTTTGATCTACCATGCTCCTTTCCAGAACAGCCGGATTTCTGATCGGCAATAAAGCGGCCTGTGACAGACCAGAAGTTGGCAGACCCAGCACCATGCGAACGGCGACCTGCCATCACCAAAACAGCTCAACTCCCACGGCCTCTCCTTGGTGCATCCGAAAGAAGACTCGACAGCGTGAGGCCGCGGCATGGGCTCGTGTCAAAAGGCTAGGCCGACGGCTTCTCAGCACGGCACCTCCCTGTGCAGAGCAGGCACTCGGGTTTTGGGGACTCTGTGCGTACCGGATGTCATACTCAACAATGCCGAGCTGAACTGAAGCGGCCTGGCTGGACAAGCGCGGTTGCGCCCAAGGCACTGCAACATCCTGCCGGAACATGATGTCTTCACAATCGTGTCCGCAAGCCCAAAAAAACTTGAAGCTGCGAAGTCGCTGCAAGACCTCCTGACAACAGCATCACGTGTTGACCAGGGGGTCTGACGTCCAAACCGGGATCAACCACAAAAACTCTCAACAATGAGAAACGTGGAACATGCGAGCACATCCTCCATCTCTGCAGGCATTTCTACGACAGCAGCTGCAACGGTGCTGCTTGGCGGAACGACCTGCACCCAAGCTTCTGATTTCACGGGCTTGGAAAACCAGCGTCTTCCAAAGGACAGGCTCCATGCCTGGCTGCTTCCGGTCGAAGGCTGCGCTGGAGAAGGGTTTATTGCCTCCCGACTTCGAAATCAGGTCTATTCTATGATGGATATTGCATGAGTATGATGGATATTATTGGATGGATACTAATGATAGATATTATACCAATCATGTAAGTCTGTCACAACTGCGGTTCTAGTCAAGTCCACGCATCAAGTTTTGCCATTCCTCTTCGACAGGCTGGCCCAAACCATCAGACCTCATGAGCACCAGGGAAAGACATGTTTAACACGCATGTGCCGAACGCTAGCTGCATCAGGGGTGCATCGGACTCATTGGCGTAGCAAGAGCTGACACCCTTGTGTGCCCTACTCGGGGCATGTGACATCAGCTCCACAGCGGCAGTCACAGCACCGTGCCAAGGTTATGAAACATTAAAACTCTTGTGTTCGATGCTGAAAAACTTGCAAAAAACCCTCAAAAGGTTCAGCCCACGGGGAGCGCAAAAAATCAGGCTGAAAAGCGTTCTGGATACAAATGGGCGCCCCGAAGACTCCTTCTGCTCTCACATCACACCACATCTAACATTCTCCAGAGCTTTCCGAAACCCTTTGCAGGTTCCCGGTTCATGCTCTTCAATACAAAACTACAGAAGTGAGGAGCGAGATCTGGTGGCGCGGTCAACAGCAACCAAAAGACGGCAGCCAAAACAGGAGAAGGAGCCAGTTTGGGTTGACAGACGAGACGGGGAAATGTCAAAGCCAAAAGCACGGCAGCGCGTGATTGGTCGTTGGGCGGTGAAAGGGCAACAGAGAAGGACTTGGATGGCCCGTTGACAAGGAGGGAGCACGGATGCACGGCCGATGGGCAGGGCGGGCAAGGGCAACAGGAGAGCAAGATTGGTCGACGGACATCGACAAACCGAACGAAAAACAGCAAGGAAACGAGATTGACAATTAACGGTCGACAGGTGTCCGGGCACTACACAAGGAGGAGGGAGATAAAGGGAGCGAGATTGAGTCGACGGCCGGACGCGGCCTGTGGGCTGGGCAACAAGGCGGAGATCTGGTCGGTTACTATCCATTGCAACAAAGCATGGGGGACCTGAGCGGTGAAGAAATGCAAAAGCCAAGGAGGAAGTGCGCATCTCCGAAGGTGGAAAACAATGTGTGTCTATGCTGGCTAGACTACGGAAAGCCATGGGTGTCTTGTGCCTCGTCCATGAGAGAAGGTAGCAGTCATCGTTGTTCATCAGGCGCTCATGACCCGCTAGAATATCTCCGCCGTTCTGGCCGCGCCTTTTCGGCTGAGCAGACCCCATTCTGGAGAGCATTCTGCAAAAGTGTGGTGTTGCGAGTACAAACGTAGATCTCAACATCAATGTTTAGCTAGCTCTTTTTGCAGTCAACGTCGGAATTGTTGGGTGTACGATGCCATGCCACAAGTACAGCACAGGCCGAAACAACCTCCACCAGAATGCTACAGGTACCAGGTTGTCGCCAATCTACGAAAAGATCGCTATGATTTCCCAAGACACGCGCTCTCGCAACAACCTTACACTGCATCTTCGAGGAAAGCTACCTTGTTGCCAAATGCAAGCAAGAGATGCACAACAGGCTGGCAGGCCGCTAAGTACAGGGCTCTGGCAGGCTCCCCCCGCTTGTTTTCCCGTTTTGATCCACGAGGGCCTGAAGCCTGATCCTGCAGAGTCCTCCAAGACCTGTCGGACAACAGCTCAATCAAGCTTCTCATAGAACTCCTCCTGAGGCAGTTGCAGACCCATCAAGTGAGCCTCAACAGCAGCAGGAAGAGCGAATCTCAACCTCCGACTTCTGAAGGTCACGGAATAGAGCTACTTTTCCCCGCATGGACAAACAGAAAAGACCGCGAAGGTCTCCACAAAGGTCTCCCTACCTCACATACAACTTTGCGCAGCTGAACCAGGGATTCTGGAGCCGTCTTGTTTGCAGGCGGAGGGCCGGGCTCGCAATTAGAAGCTGCCATTACATGTTTAGGAGAAACAAGCACGCGAAAAAATAATACAGTTTCAATGCAGGGATGGTCCTTTTTTCTTTTGGATAGTGGGTCCTAACTGCCTCTCCCATCACTCATTGTAAACCATGGAAACATGTGTAAAACCTGCCAGCACTTGCTATTCGTCCGCGTAGGGGCATTCGCAACCGTCCGCACCGCTCGTAATGCACCGGAAATGTCCACGATTGCTGCTGCGCCGACAAACAGGGCACTGGCATTTTTTGTGCAAATCCTCGCAATTGTCATTGTGGTTGGACCCTCCGTCGCATCTCCATCAATGTCAACAGTCACAAGTAACAAGTACAGGGCCTGTAGTAATCGCGACTTATTTCCACAGCTGCTACATGCTCGTATATATGAATGAAATCTCAAATAGGATCTCAAACTTTATTTCTTATTTGCCTTGTGGACCGCATGCAACACTCACATCACGTATGCGATGGCTAAGGTCCGGGCAAAATGCTCACTAACAAAACGGGGCTGACAGAATCTGCCCATTCTGGGCCAGTACCGTAAAGTTCATATGCTTAGGGCAACGCAACATGAACTCGACCAACGCTCTTGCTGTCCATTTTTCACTGAGGGGCGAAGGCGTCCATGCCTGAGTAACGAAGAATCCCAGACCGTCCAGGCGAGAGCCTTTGAACAAGTCTGGACCTCCACACCCCATGCCTGAGTAACGAAGAATCCCAGACCGTCCAGGCGAGAGCCTTTGAACAAGTCTGGACCTCCACACCCCGACTTCAAGTTAAAAAGGGAATGGGCGGGCGGGCAAACAAAATTCCTCGAGAGGATTCGGAGTAAGGGGGAAAACCCACCTCCCACCCTGGGCCCAAAGATTGCCATGCATCTTCACTGTTCAACTGTGACATGAAGGCATGAAGCAAGTTGGGAAGAAATCAAAGTAAAACTCGCATGTTGAAATTACCAATGTAATTTCAAAACACAGCTTTTGAAAATAAAACTTCATCACCTTCGGTGAGTTCCGTCTTATTTCCACAGCTGCTACATGCTCGTATATATGAATGAAATCTCAAATAGGATCTCAAATTTTATTTCTTATTTGCCTTGTGGACCGCATGCAACACTCACATCACGTATGCGATGGCTAAGGTCCGGGCAAAATGCTCACTAACAAAACGGGGCTGACAGAATCTGCCCATTCTGGGCCAGTACCGTAAAGTTCATATGCTTAGGGCAACGCAACATGAACTCGACCAACGCTCTTGCTGTCCATTTTTCACTGAGGGGCGAAGGCGTCCATGCCTGAGTAACGAAGAATCCCAGACCGTCCAGGCGAGAGCCTTTGAACAAGTCTGGACCTCCACACCCCTCGAACAGGTACAGCTGCATCAAGGCTTGAGTGAGCGGAGTCGAGTTCTGGCTGCACTTGGGAGGTTGCGCACGTCTCTCCTGGAAGGAGCAT